ACCCCTGTCCTGGAAGAGGTTTACTGACGTGGATGGAAAGGGGAACAGGACCTCTGGGAATTATGAGGCTTTTTGTTGAGTGTTTTTAAAGTCAGTGCTCGTACTAATAGTTTTAATCCATGTCCAGGTAGAGGAAAGACCTGAGGGGCACATCATCAACTGACTTCATTTAAAAAGTCATTGCTAGTATATATTTCAAGGAACGACATTTGATCTAATAAATAATTTTAAGGACTTTGGTTAAAATAAAGTGCTGATCATTTGTGTTTAATGAATTTTTATTTCCATTTCAAATGCTTGAACCAGACATTGTTATTTCAAATTGAACCAGGAAATAGATGAGCTTAGTTTTATGACCATAAATTATCTTTTATTGTAAAATGTTTGAAAAGGTGACTATCGTATTGTAGTTTCTTGATGTTTAAGATGAAATATATTATTATTATTATTTTTTTTTTTTTAAGGATTTTATTTTTCCTTTTTTTCCCCAAAGCCCCCCGGTACATAGTTGTATATTTTTAGTTGTGGGTCATTCTAGTTGTGGCATGTGGAATGCCACCTCAGCATGGCCTGATGAGTGGTGCCATGTCTGTGCCCAGGATCCGAACCGGTGAAACCCTGGGCCGCTGAAGCAGAGCGGGCGAACTTAATCACTCGGCCATGGGGCCGGCCCCAAGATGAAATATATTATTATATGTTGTAATTTTGGACTGATTCTAGAAGGACCATTGTTTTGTAGTGCTTCTTCCATGGCACTAAGTAAATATTGCATTAATTTTATTATATTTTTATTTTCTGTTATAAATGTATTTGGTATTTTGTTTTGAGGCCGTATACGCTTATAGCTGAATTTTATGAACAAAGGAATGTCGTTGATGTTAGGATTGTAATTTAATCTTTAGTATTTTTGTTTAGATGTAGAAATCAAAATTTACTAAGGCTAATGTTTATCTGAAGGACTAATCATTTTATAATACATTCTGCAGTGAATTTTGTTGTCATAAACTGTTTAAAAATTTTGACTGCATCAATAGAAATAGATGATTGCAACTTTTTTGAGACTCCTGTCACATCACTATATGGAAAAATCGAAATTACTAGGTTATACTAGGAAAAGTATTAAAACTATTATAAAAACCCAGTGAAATATATTCTTGTAATTTAATTTTTACATCATTAATTCTGGGAAGTTTGAGGTCAGAAAAATATTTTAATCACTTTTTGTCTTTTTTTCATCTTTAAAATGGGAGTCATATTAATCTTGTACAGTTATTGTGAGAGTTAATGTATGTGAATGCCTATTTTAATGTAACATTTCATGAGTTTTAGATAGTTTAGGTCCATGTTACTGGCATACAATAATTTTATATTTTTAGAGAGTGCAAAGGGGGCCACAGCCGTGGTGGAGTCGTTAAGTTCACGCACTCTGCTTCAGTGGCCTGGGGTTCACGGGTTTGGATCCTGGGTGTGGACCTACACACCGCTTATCCAGCCATGCTGTGGCAGCGTCCCACGTAGAAGAACTAGAAGGACTTACAACTAGGACATACAACTATGTCCTGGGCTTTGGGGAGGGGAAAAAAAAAGAGGAAGATTGGCAACAGATGTTAGCTCAGAGCCAATTTTCCTCTCTCTCTCTCTCTCTCTCTCTCTCATACACACACACACACACAGTGTAAGGAAACATTGTGACTATGCAAATGTAACTATATATTAAAGATGTATTACTTTTTTGATAGATTATAGTAATAATCAGTTTGAGGAAATGCTTTTTAAGTTGAAACAAATGTTTGAATAATGACATGTACTATGTTTCATTACATTTGATACATTTTTTAGTTTCTAAAGTGCTTTTGTGTTTGTAATCTCCTGTAAACCTTTAGTTATATATCTGTAAAATGGGCATAATAATAGTATCTACCTCACTGAGTTATTGGGAGAAGGTTATTGTGAGAATGAAGTGAGATATATTGCATATTCAGGACTTAATACAGTGCTTGGCACAGGGAAAGTATTTTTTAGCTATTTGTGTTCATTTAAGCTGTTTTTCTTTAAATTGATTTGTGCTTTTTTGTTTTTGTTTTGAATTATACCTATTTTTAGCTAAGATATACATCTAGTAAGGTGTATAAAACTTAGGTGTACAGTGTGATAAAATTTTAATATGTTTGCATTCATGTAATTACCTTGTAGGTCAATATGAACATTTTTTGTGTGTTTTTTTGTTTTTTGTTTTGGTGAGGAAGATTGGCCCTGACGTAACATTTGTGCCAGTCCTCCTCTATTTTTTGTATGTGGGATGCCCCCACAGCATGGCTTGATGAGTGGTGTATGTCTGCGCCCGGGATCCGAACCTGTGAATCCCGAACTCCTGAAGTGGAGTGCACTGAACTTAATCACTGTGCCACTGAGCTGGCCAATGAATATGCAGAACATTTTTGTCACTCTAAAAGTTTTCCTTGTGCCCTTTCTCAGTCAGTTCCCCTTTTTTCCCCTCCCAGAAGTAATGATTATACTGACTTCTGTCACCATAGATTAGTTTTGCCTATACTTGAATCTACTATAAATGGAATTGTGTAGTACACTCTTTTCTGTCTGGCCTTTGTATTTCTTTATTTTTTTGGCTGAGGAAGAGTCACCCTGAGCTAACATCCTTGCTAATCTTCCTCTCTTTTTTAGTATGTGGGCTGCCAGGACAGCATGGCTGCTAACAAAGTGGTGTATTTCTGCGTCTGGGAACCGAACTCCAGGCTGCCAAAGTGGAACGCACCAGACTTAACCACTAGGCCACCGGGGCTGGCCCTCTGGCATTTTTTGCTTAACAGTATCTATGAGATTCACCCACATAGTTGCATGTATCAGTAGTTTATTCCTCATTTTTTTTTTTGTTAATGCTTTGTAGTAAACCCTTGTATGAGTATGTGGTGGTTTATCCTGTTGATGGGTATTTTAGTTGTTTCCAGTGTTTGACCATTATGAATAAAGCTACTATGAACATTTTTATATATGTCTTCTGGTGGACATTTGCAGTCATTTCTCTTTGGTATATACCAAGGAGTGGAATTCCTGGGTCGTAGAGTTGGTGTACATTTAACTTTCGTAGTTATTAATGGACAGCTTTTCCAAAGTGGTCGAACCAAATTACGTCCCTACCAGCAATTTCTCCCGGTAGTGAGAATTTGAGTTGCTCCACATACTGACCAACACATAGTATTGTTGTGTCAGTTTTACTAATTTTAGCTCTTCTGGTGGGTGAACATTGATAACTCTTGGTTTTAATTTGCATTTCCCTGGTGAGTAATTATCTTGAACATCTTTTCATAGGTTTTTGGTCATTTGAATATCTTCTTTTGTGAAGTATACTTGTTCATTCTTTTCATTCACTTTTAAATTGGATTGTTGGCCGTTTTCTTATTGATTTGTGGTATACATCTGTCTTCTCCCAGTGAGTGGATTGCCTATTCACTTTCTTCACAATGTCTTTTGATGAATAGAAGTTCTTAATTTATTTTTTGTTTTTTATTTGCTGGGAGAGATTTGCCTTGAGCTAACATCTGTTGCCAAACTTCCTCTCTTTTTTTTCTCTTTCCCCAAAGCCCCAGCACATAGTTGTATATTCTAGTTGTACGTTCTTCTAGTTCTTCTATATGAGCCACTGCCACAGCATGGCTACTGACAGATGAGTGCTGTGGTTCTGCGCCTGGGAACTGAACCCAGGCTGCTGAAGTGGAGTGCGTTGAACTTTAACCACTAGGCCATCAGGGCTGGCTTAGTTCTTAATTTTAATGAAATCTAATAAATCAATTTTTTTCTTTTATAGTTAGTACTTTTTTTGCATTTTATTTAAGAAATCGTTATCAGCCCAAGGTCATGATGAAGATAGTCTGTTTTATTTTGAAGCTTTTATTGTTTTGCTTTTCATATTACAGGTCTGCTCCTTCTCTAATTTTTGTGCATAGTGTGAGGTAAGAGTCAAGCTTAATTTTTTTCCATACAGATATCTAGTTGCTTCAGCACCAATTATTAAAAAGATCATACTTTCTACCTGAGTTTCACTGAAGCTTTTGTCATAAATCAAATGACTCTGTATGTGTGATGCTATTTCTAGAGTTTATTTTATTCTATTGATATATTTGTCTATCCTTGTGCCAGTGACACACTATCTTAATTACTGTAGTTTGTCCCCCAACTTTTTTTTTCTTTCAAGGTTATCTTGGTTGGTCTGGGTCCTTTGCATTTTTATATATGTTTTAGAGTTGGCTTCTCAATTTCTACACGTGTGTGGATGCACATGAGCACGTATGTGTGCACACACATCTGCTGGGGTTTTGATTTGAATTGCATTGAATCTATAGATCATTTTGAGGGAGAATTGATATCCTAACACTGTCTAGTCTTCTAACTATGAACATGGAATATTTCCCCATTTATTTAGGTCTTCTTTAATTTATCTCAGGAGTGTTTTGTAGTTTTTTTTTTTTTTTTTTTTTAAAGATTTTATTTTTTTCCTTTTTCTCCCCAAAGCCCCTCCAGTACATAGTTGTATATTCTTCGTTGTGGGTCCTTCTAGTTGTGGTATGTGGGACTCTGCCTCAGCGTGGTTTGATGAGCAGTGTCATGTCCGCGCCCAGGATTCGAACCAACGAAACACTGGACCGCCTGCAGCGGAGCGCGCAAACTTAACCACTCGGCCACGGGGCCAGCCCCGTGTTTTGTAGTTTTTAATGTAGAGATCTTGTACATTTTTCATTAGATTTGTTACTAGATATTGATACTTTCTAATGCTGTTGTAAATAGTATTTTTTTTGACAGTGAAAGAAAAGGTTTTTGAACTTTGTGTATAATCCTGACAATAAAAATGTAATAAGTGAATTTTAATTACACTGAATTGTTTGCCTCAGACACAGTTGGCAAACACCAAAACATATCACTGATGTAATGTCTTTTCTTGGTTCATTCTTTAGTTTAAAAAAATTAACTAACAGTTAAATGGCATTTTAGAAAATATTATTTTAAAAAGAATTCAGAAGGCTTCTAATTTTTTTTGAGGTATATCTTCCATACAGTAAAATGCACAAATCTTAAGTGTGCAGTTCGATGACTTTTTTCCCTAAATACCCACCCGTGTAGCCACATTCAGAGCAAGATATAGGACATTTCCAGTAACTTTAGGCCTCTTCCCAGTTAATCCTGCACCCTTCCTCCTAGGGAACCCTCATAAGTAACTTACTGAGAAGGTTTTTGTGCCATTATTTGAAACTAAAAAAGTAATTGCTTGAATTATTATAAAGTGGGTCTTTTAGTTACAGCGGAAATGATAGATGGAGTTGTTAAATGGGGTTAAACTCTGAGATTTATGTTATTCCAGAGGGATAGTATTCTTTGTCACTTCATGGGAGATATAATCTGACCTGTGTTATAACATAAGGTTGTATAGTCAGAAGCTCACCAGTGAGGTTTTTGGTATATATACTTAATTGTTCTGGTGAATATTGCTTTTGGTCTTTTTCCTTAACACTTCCAAGTATACTTATTTTAGTGGTTCTAGCACAGTAGATCTAAGTATCTCCAGCAAAAATCTACTTTTTAGGTCTGATGGTCAGTAATAGGATAAAAAGTTTGGAAATTGAAGGAAAATCGGAAGTGGAAATGTGGGAAAGATTGGCCTCCTAGCAAGAGTCTAACTTTGTGTAAGTAGAGAACCTAGCACATATCAGACATTCACTTGGCAAGTGGTGATATGAAGGCACAAAGTCCAGTCAGACACTGAAGGTCAGGGAAGATGCCTGCTTGGTGTTTGGAAAGTGCTAATTGTTTCCTCCTGATAGTATTTTTCCCCCAATAGTTTAATTGAGGGGCACACATAGATACACAATATACATACGTACATACGCATGCATATTTTTAAAACTTTTTAATTGGAGTATAATATGTAGAGAAAAATGCACTAATTAAAAGTGTATAAAAGTTTCACAAAGTGAACATATTTATTTAATAAAATCCCCTTTGTGCTTCCTCCCATTCACTGCCTCCCCCCAGAGGTAACCAGTATGCTGACTTCTGACACTACAGCTGGGTATGTGAATGTCGTAACACAGTGCGTACTGTGTTCGGTGGCCTTCTTTTGCGCAGCATCATGTTTATGTGATCCATACATATTGTATGGAGAAGTAATCTTGTCATTCTGATTGCTGTAGTAGAGTAAGTATAATACTTGAGTAGCTTAGATAATCTTGGGGAAAAACTATCTGCTTAAATACTTTTCTTCCTAAAGCAGTTTCTAACAGTTTCAATGTAGGGATTGGGGGAAACTGTGGTACTTGGGGGGTACTGGGAAGGAGGAACATGCTCTGCTCTTAAGAGCCAGTGCATCAGCTTGGTGGTAAAGAAGTTGCAAACCTCCATACATTTCCTGTGTGTTTCTGAAATTTATTTTCATTTGCTAGTAGAAAGTCGGTGATTCTTTGTTCTTTCTTTGGGTTTATATACTTTACTAATAACAGTAATAGCTAACATTTATTGAACTTATACTAGGTGTAAATACTATGCTAAGTGCTTTACTTAAATCGCCTGATTTTATTTTCACCAAAACTAATGTTTTATTATGTTCTATAGATTGAAATTTCGGTTAGTGCAAATGAATGCATTCTTTAAACTTATGTTAGGGCATCTGGCCTCCGTTTTCTAACTGTTTGTTCTTTCATGAATAGGTATGTCATTGATGGGGCCACCGCTCTTTGGTGTGCAGCAGGAGCAGGACATTTCGAAGTTGTTAAACTTCTAGTCAGTCATGGAGCCAACGTGAACCACACCACAGTAACCAACTCGACCCCTCTGCGGGCAGCGTGCTTTGATGGCAGACTGGACATTGTGAAATACTTGGTTGAGAATAACGCCAACATCAGCATTGCCAACAAGTATGACAACACCTGCCTAATGATTGCAGCATATAAGGGACACACTGACGTGGTCAGATACCTTTTAGAACAACGTGCCGATCCCAATGCTAAAGCACATTGTGGAGCCACAGCCTTGCACTTTGCAGCCGAAGCTGGGCACATAGATATTGTGAAAGAGCTGATAAAATGGCGTGCTGCTATAGTAGTGAACGGCCATGGGATGACGCCATTAAAAGTAGCTGCCGAAAGCTGTAAAGCTGATGTCGTGGAACTGTTGCTCTCTCACGCTGATTGTGACCGGAGAAGTCGAATTGAAGCTTTGGAACTCTTGGGTGCCTCCTTTGCAAATGACCGTGAGAACTATGACATCATGAAGACATACCACTATTTATATTTAGCCATGTTGGAGAGGTTTCAAGATGGTGATAACATTCTTGAGAAAGAGGTACTCCCACCAATCCATGCTTATGGGAATAGAACTGAATGTAGAAATCCTCAGGAACTGGAATCCATTCGGCAAGACAGAGATGCTCTTCATATGGAAGGCCTTATAGTTCGGGAACGGATTTTGGGTGCTGATAATATTGATGTTTCCCATCCCATCATTTACAGGGGAGCTGTTTATGCGGATAACATGGAATTCGAACAGTGTATCAAGTTGTGGCTTCATGCCCTGCACCTCAGACAGAAAGGTAACAGGAATACCCACAAGGATCTTCTTCGATTTGCTCAAGTTTTCTCACAGATGATACATTTGAATGAAACCGTGAAGGCCCCAGACATAGAATGTGTTTTGAGATGCAGTGTTTTGGAAATAGAACAAAGTATGAACAGAGTAAAAAATATTCCAGATGCGGATGTCCACAATGCTATGGACAATTATGAATGTAATCTCTATACCTTTTTGTATTTAGTGTGCATCTCCACCAAAACACAGTGCAGTGAAGAAGATCAGTGCAAAATTAACAAGCAGATCTACAACCTGATTCACCTTGATCCCAGAACTCGTGAAGGTTTCACCTTGCTGCATCTAGCTGTCAACTCGAATACCCCGGTTGATGATTTCCACACCAATGACGTCTGCAGCTTTCCCAATGCGCTTGTCACAAAGCTCCTGCTGGACTGTGGTGCTGAGGTGAATGCTGTGGACAATGAGGGGAACAGCGCCCTTCATATTATCGTTCAGTACAACAGGCCCATCAGTGATTTTTTGACCTTGCACTCTATCATCATTAGCCTAGTTGAAGCTGGCGCTCACACTGACATGACAAATAAACAGAATAAGACTCCGCTAGACAAAAGTACAACTGGGGTATCTGAAATACTACTAAAAACGCAAATGAAGATGAGTCTCAAGTGCCTGGCTGCCCGAGCAGTTCGGGCTAATGACATTAACTACCAAGACCAGATCCCCAGAACTCTTGAAGAGTTTGTTGGATTTCATTAAGTGACTGGATATGTAAAATCGTTTAATGTGGTGCTAAAAAGTAAAGGACTTTAATCACAGACAATAGAATTATGTGTTCATAAATTCTACTTTTCTTTCCACTACCTTTCCTCCCTCCCCATCCTTAGTTCTGTATTTGGTCTTCTTGCTTCATATGGTAATTGATTTCAAATACACTTTAAACAAAGCCACATTGTTTAGGTGTAACTATAATCTAAGGTGTTCGGATACTGGTCCCTTAACTATTTTCCTTTCTTTTTTTTGAGGAATGCTTATAAAATGTTTTGTTTATGTAACAGGGACATTTATGATTTGAAGTTAATAATGTTTTAAAAAATTGCCTACGAAAGTATTTCTCTTAAGCCTGTGTCAGCGTGTTCTCCGTGCAGCGTGTTCTCCTTGCAGCAGTTTTGAGGATTTTGTGAAGAAAAACAACTAAAAAGGGACGTTGAGAGTAATGGGATCCCCGGGTGTTCTGCACATGCCAAACTGCTGCAGGTCATGTTCACTCTTGCGTTATTTATGTGCAGTGATGCCACACGTTATGACATCAGGAGGATTTAAAAATAGAGCTACAGATTTACCTGAAAAATGGGCTAATTTAATACTAGTCACAAATTGATAAAGTGAAATCCATTGAAATTGTTGCATTATGCTGGGTGGTATATACACAATAGTAATGGTCTGAAAGCAACTTTTCAGAGAATATCAATGGACTATTTGCTGTTAGGCTTGACTGCTAAACGTCTTTGCAGTCTCTGTTTTAATGTAATTTATCTAAATTGCAGCAGTCTGCATTTGAGTCAGCTCACAGAAAATTATGAATGCTGTGTTTTCTTAGGAAACAAATTGTCACAGTATAGTTATACATTCTAATTTTTGTTCTCGTTTCCCTTTCCTTCTGTGTGGTATCTTAAAATTTGGAAACTACTTTTCCAGAGGTCATTATTTGTGCCTCCCTAATAAGGTGTTAGTGACAGATGAAAAGGAACCAGGATGTTTTTCACTTTCTTTTCTTAGTTCGTGATAAGAAAAATCACTAGTGTGGTATGGGAAATGAAATGTTTTTGATGATGAAAATAATTCTCAATGCCACTTTGAAAGGTATTTCTGAGAGCTGCATATTTTTCAACCACGAAAATATCACTTATTCCTACAGGCTGTACAGAGGCCTTTATGTTTGTTTTGTTTTAATGGCAATATTTTAACTGTCAGATAAAGCATTCTGTGATTATCTTTTAAGCATCACAGAAATTCAAGTAAAGGGTACACACATTTCTATTGATGTTAAAAATGATAAAGTAAAATTAGCTATATCTGTATTTTTCTCTCTAGTGCCAAATGAATGCCTTAGCTACTCATAGTGCATGGTACTGTAAGTGAAGACCTGCAGCTTTTTTTTCTTCAATGAAAAGCATTATAATGATGTAGTAACATCAGATATAAACTAAAAAAAAACTTGTAAGGTTTCAGTTAACACTTTATGTATGGATATTGCTTTGTGAAGTATAAGAGAAAGGTTGCAGTTGGATCAGTATAAAACATAATGACCAAGCCAAAATCAGCACCTAGGGCCTTAAATAAAATAGCGATGCCCGACAAAATGAAGTACTTTGAAGGGTGGGAGGGAATGGAAGGAGGAACTTTAAAAACTTCTTCCCCCAAGAATGCAAGATTCTTTAACAGCTACTGTAGGTATTATACTTTGTGTGTCTTCTTGCTTTTGTTAGGAATGTTTTGATGGTAAATTTTGTCTGGTAATATATTTTTGTTTTCCTAACCTGAGATTTTTACAAGGAACATTTTTAGGTTGGTTTAAAGGGAGGTATTTGAATGAGCCCTAATTTGAAATTGCTGGCCTTGATCCTCCTGGTGTGAATCAAGGAAATACTGTACCTTGCCCTTGGCAGCTCATGGCCTAAAAGAGAAAATGCTCGTCCTCAAGGTGAGTGAATCACGCCCTTTCCACAGCTCAGATCAAAGCCTGTATTTTTCAGACTTCAAGGCCTGCTGATGTGAGAGTCTGAGGAATGGCTATGATACTGGGGATTCAGTTGCTTCCATTATTAATGAATATGATTTTTGAACACCAAAACTTAAAATACCAGATAATGTTGCATGTTTTAAAACCCATTTCATCCCTTTGGCTACCCAGGACCGGCACTATTTTAGATGTTATTTATAAAATGAGGATAATGATTATATGTACATATTCAGATATCAAAATTCAGTGACAGTGTTTTTGAGAAGGGGGATGGAGACAGAACTGCTGATTGAAATGCTGACAGAGCTGGAGAAAGAATTTGAAGATAGTGGAATAAACTATGAACTCTATGAACTCTGCTAATGGTAACAGGTTTTTGGGGTTTTTTTGCTGTAGTATAGTAGTTCATTGTGTGTTATATTGCTAAGGATCTCGTTTTGTCTTGTAAAATAAATCCGAATATGTATTGTGAAACACCTGTATAAAACCATTCTTGAAACAAGTGATCCACATGCCTGTTTTTTTATTTGTTTTTGGTAGAATTATTTTAAAATATGTTCAGCCAAGCCTTTCCCAAGCTTAAGTTTTTTGTTTTTTTTAAGGAAAATAAATAGGTAAGAAAGGTGATAGTTCTGTATCTCAGCTCTGAGAACTCTAGGCTGTCTCCCTTTTCCAGCCACTTTTGTTGTTTTATGTTTATTATTGGTAGAATTATGCTTTGGATTGTAAGTTTTCCTTGATAATGTTACGAAGTCAATCAAAACTTGTCTTGCTCAGTAATTGTCAAATTTAGTTGAACTAAAGGCCCAGATGGATGAATATGGCCTGGGCAAACCATGTGAAACTTAAGTGGTGTATGGTTTTAATAGAGTTGATGAAATTGAACTCTTGACTTTAGGTAACTAACTCAAGGAATGCGCAGCAAATCCATCCTCTCAATTGATAAGAGAGGGGGAAATTTTTGACGTAAGAACTCGGACAAAACCTGCTTTTTTTCAATCTACCCTGGATCGCTCTAGTAGGCCGCAGTCCAGCTACCTTAAGGTTCTTTGCTGTGGGAACTTGAAGGGCTTTATTTCATTATAATAATAGTTGATTAATAACTGGTAATTATGAGAAACTTAGGTAGGTATGATAGCATTGTTTGAAGTAAAATATGATTTTGGGGCAGCAGCTCCGTAAGTATCAGCTCTGCATTTGGCAAGTGTTTTTGAAAATGAAAATCTCAAGGGAACAACACCCTGTCACCACTCTCCACTGCAGCTGAGGCAGCTACTTTATGAATAAGACCATTTTGGATTATTTAAGCAGAAGCTTTTTTTTGGAATGGGGCAGGGTGAGGAGTGAGTTGCTGGACCTTGAATTACAGTTTGCTGGTTTGAGAAGCAGCCAGTGATTGAACTAGTGAGTTAAATGGATAAAAGTATAAAGGACTTGTTTTTTTATGGTAGCTTTTCTGTAAAAAGCTTAAATGCTCCTTTCCAGGCTAATCAGATGTATCAATGTACAAATAACTATTCTCTTTTCCTCCCTGACTATACCATAACATTAAAATGGGTTAAAGGAAACTCTGCCTTTTGCTCTATGAAAAGTTAGTAGTCCATAAAATTTTAAGCTGTGTGTTCATTCCTATTCTGAAAATGCACAGCTCTGCTCTGGACACCCTCTCTGGAAAGTAGAAAGCTTCTAACCGGGTATGGCACATTGCAGGGCTTTCTCATACATTTCTGGCAGACTTGCCTAAATGTTCAGATGGGATGAGTTGTACAGCATCCCCTCCCCCAAATATGGGATCTGAAATAATTACTATTCTGATAATAGTGGTAGATATATTAATTTTTAAAACTGTAAAGTAAATGTCTCTAGTCCCTGGTTTGTCGTGTGCTCATTTGTGTTAATGTGTAGGGAAGGGATATGGACTTGATGGTTATGGGGAGTGTATCTTGATGTGTGTGCAGGGGTGAGTATTGCTGAATTATTAGCAGCTTTTCATTTGGGGGCGAGTCATGTGAGAGTGGCCTAATCAGAAAAATGAAGGAGCGAAGATGCAAGCTTTGCCGGGTGGTGAAGCGAACAAGGGTTTGTATCTATTTTTCAATCAGGTGTGTAAAATCTGTGCATGGCTTTTTTTGTTGTTGCTTAGTAATTGGTAGAGGAGAAAAGATGAGGGGAAAAACCTCAACTTTGCTAACCAGTCTTTTCAGAGGTACATAGTTGAGGAGTAAAATCTGAGTGGCCTAACATGTTGAAAAGATCCTATCCTTTATAATATTCACCCCATCCTGCGATCCTCCATGTAGAGGAACTACATTGTTGTATTCTAGTAATTCACTGTGATTTATAACAAGCCAGTGATGTCATTCTAGTGTGCACTTTCGTCAAACCATTTACGTGACTTTAATGAACATAGTAAACTTGCTGACTGCACCAGAGGTCTATTAGTGATTTATATATTGCATGACATTTTCTACTTCAGTTTGACATGTAGAATCATTTTTAATTTCGTGGCAATTGACAGTCCTAATAGCCCAGCTAATTCGAAACTAACAATATTGCTGTGTAAAAGGAAAAAATGGTGTTTGTGTTCAGTAAATGTTTGAAAAAAACTACCTTGAAGTTTGTGTCTTTATTGTTCAGTGTGCCTTAGTTGAGATGATCTTTTGTTGAGTTCATTTTAAAAAGTTGTCAAAGTTATACTTGTGCATGGGGAAAAAATTCAGCTAGTAAAGAAAAATTCAAATAGTGAAGAAAAAGTTCCCTTCCCATCTCTCCCTGCCTCCCGCCAGGACTCTTCAGAAGGCGGTCATGTTACTATTTTTGGAGTAGCTTCCCAGAATTTTTCTGTGCATATATGTATTTTTTCTCCTTTTCATTTTTTAAAGATGCAAATGGACTTTTACCTTTTCTACACTATTCTGCATTTTGTCTTTTTCATTGAATATATCTTAGACATTTTTTCAATGTGGTATATGTTGCCTTTTTTTTAAAACAATTCCATAGCATTTAATTCTATGGATGGACTTCAAATATATTTAACCAGACCTTATGGCAGGACTTTTAGGTTTTCAGTTTCTTGATATTCCAAATAATGCTCGGTGAACATCCTTACATACTGTATTCATGGAACAAATTCATTCCTCGCACTAGAACTTCCAGTTTAGTGACTCAGGATTTAAAATCTTGCTAGAGGTTATCCAGTTGCCTTCCATCTCCTGACACCATTATTGACATCTGATATTTCCTAATCTCTTAGTTTTTGCCAAGCTGATTGATGGAAAATAGTATTTCATGGTTTTGATTTGTATTCCTTTATTATGAATGAGGTCGACACTTTCATCTATTTGCTGACCTTTAGAATTTCTTTTGTTTGCTTTCGGGCTGTGGTCTTTTGCTTACTACTTGTTAGAAATGCTTTGAGAGTTTAAGCAAATTTTCTCTGTCTTATGTCAGTTTGTAGTTTGTTTTTTGTCTTTAAATATCGTACTTTTTGTATCTGCTGAGTTTTGTTTCTTTCTTGTAAAGCTGTCTCCATTCCGAGATCATAAATCTTTTTTACCCATGTTTTCTCCTCGTGCTTTTGTGGCTTTTCTCTCCCACTTCTCTTTTCCTTCCTCTTCCTTTTTTTCTCCTCCTCCTCTTCTTCGATTTAAATCTTTTATCTTCCTGGAAGTTATTTTGATGTAAGAATCCAGCTAGCCAAGGACTCCCTTAATTATTTTCTAATGATTTTGAATAATAAACTAGATTCCCATAATGTAATTGCATCTTTTTCTGGGTTCTCTGTTCTGTTCTGTTGATCTGGCATTGTGGAGCTCTGGGGAATATTGTCTAGGCTCTATCGCTTATTAGTTCTGTGACCTTGGCTCTATCACTTATTAGCTCTGTGACTAGGCAAATTTTCTATCCAAGCCTCAGTTTCTATAAATTGAGACAATAGTATTATCTAATTTGGACTGTGATGAGTAAATAAGAGAATTAAAATGTTTAAGATAGTGCCTGACACATAATGAAGTGCCTGGTAAATGTTAAGTAGTTGTGGGGCGAATATTTTCATCTGTGTTTTTTGGGCCGTAGATCATTGTTTTCATTATTGTATGTTTATTTTTCCAGATGAACTTTGGTGTCATTTTATCTTATCGAAAGATTATTTTCTGTAGCATTGAATTAATAGATTAATTTGGGGAGACTTGGCATCTCTGAAGTCGGAGCCTTTTTATCCAAAAGGAAGATATTCTCATTTAGTGAAGTCTTATGTCTCTGTCCAGAGATTTTTTTTAAAGTTTTTTTAAATGAAGTTCTTTCAAATATCTTTCTTTTATTATCATTTGGTTTTTTGTTTGTTTATATTGTAGATAGTAGCTTTGCTTCCATTATATATACTTCTAAATGTTTTTTTTTTGTTTTTTTAAAAAAGATTTTATTTTTTTCCTTTTTCTCTCCAAAGCCCCCCGGTACATAGTTGTATATTCTTTGTTGTGGGTCCTTCTAGTTGTGGCATGTGGGACGCCGCCTCAGCGTGGTTTGATGAGCAGTGCCATGTCTGCGCCCAGGATTTGAACCAATGAAACACCGGGCCGCCTGCAGCGGAGCGCGCAAACTTAACCACTCGGCCACGGGGCCCGCCTCTATACTTCTAAATGTTAATGCTTTCACATAGGCATTTTAATGGATTTGCTTTTTTTAAAAAAATAATTTTTCAGTTCTTTCTTTTGGATGTCCCAGATACACTAATCATCATTTACAAGTAATGATAATTTTGCCCTCTCATATCCGGTATTCATACTTCATATTTCTTTCTTTTACCCAATCACATTGGTTAACATTACCAGAAGAGTATAAATATAGTGGTGTTGGAGCACATCCTTGGCACATGTTTATTTTCAAATTTAGATTTAGGGAGCCACTCCAGTGCCTTTATAGAGATGTGAAAAATCATTTAGTGCAACTCTCTCACTTTATAGTTGAGGATCCAGGCCTAGAAAGAAGTGACTTGTCCATCCAAGGTCACACGAGGACTAAGTGTCAGAGCCCGGGGTAGACTCTCATGCCGGTACCAGAGAAGCTCATCTTAGCATCTCTGCCTGATCTGTGCCTGACAGCAATGACCAGCTGGACTGCAGAAATCATTCAAATTCGAACTCATTTTTTTCCCCCCTGTGTTTCAAGTAATGTCTGCTGTATTAAAGTAACAGATGGGGTAGGCCCGGTGGCGCAGCGGTTAAGTGCGCACGTTCCGCTTCGGCGGCCTGGGGTTCGCCAGTTCAGATATGGCACCGCTTGGCAAGCCATGCTGTGGTAGGCGTCCCACATATGAAGTAGAGGAAGATGGGCATGGATGTTAGCTCAGGGCCAGCCTTCCTCAGCAAAAAGAGGAGGATTGGCAGCAGATGTTAGCTCAGGGCTAATCTTCCTCCGAAAAAAAAAAAAAGTAACAGATGACCAGACTAAGGAAAATACTGGCAGTAATATATTTCATCAGATACGTGATCTAGAAAATTTTGGTATGAGATCAAATTTCAGGTGGTTCAGAAAATCTTAGCTTGTTGGCAAGCTTAGACAAAATTGTATTTTCTAATTTGCCTGTGCTTTGTAAATTTGGTGTGCTCAGTCCATTCCAAGAGCAGAACTCAGGTTTGCTCCTGCCTCAACCGATGGAAACAAACTCTTAGAAATTAGCATTTATTGAGCACTTATTGTGTGTCAGGCACTATACCAGGGATATGCATACAAAAATAAGAAAGATGGTCCCTGCTTTTGATAAGCCTTTCATCCAGCTAGATGTCCCTATTTGAAATCTGATTTTCTATTTTTCCTCATTTTTATTTTTATTCCCCAAACAAAAGTTTATGTTACTTTTTGACTCTGGCTTGGGCCACCTTCTGAAAACATTTCAGAAAACATCATTTGAGTGGCTACTTGTCATTTTTTTCATGTAGAACCAGGGAGAAAGAACAAAGAACATGCAAGACTGGTTAGAGAGGATCAGTCCATGAGGGAGTGTGCCCCCTCCTTTTTTAAAAGAAGATTTTTCTGCTCAGATGCTACTTTGAGCTTCTGAATTTGCTAGGTACCTTTAACGTGTATCTTATTGAAGAGTTTCCGAGCCCAGGTACCAGGCCTGTAACCCTCTTTTCACGGTAAACCAGCAAAGTTCTTCTGTTCCTGTTTCAGTTTCTGTTTTGGAACATGCTGTCCTACTTTAGTGTGGTGTCAAAGTTAATAGAATAAACAGTGACACAAAAGCACTCTGAAGATTTTAATGTGATCGATTAAGCTTGACTGCCCTTTGAGAGGAGCCTGGTTGATGTTAATACTAATATCAGGGTAATTTGGGGGATTTATTGTTAATCATAAGAAGTAGTGTGGAATAAAGTGTTGGCACTACCTTCAGTTGAAGGTAAAAACAAAGGCCAGTGTGGTGTTGAATGAAAATGGAAGCATGAACTACTAATGGCTGTATGAAGTCAAGTCACGCAGGGCACATCTGCTGGTAGAGAGACCTGGCCACTTCTTGCGTGGGGCGAGGCGTGGTTGTAGTGAGTCATTGTGCCAGAAAAGGGTAATGATTAAGCCAGCTGTCTGTATTACAGGCTGCTTGGCTCTTGGGGCTTGAAGCCAGGGAGACTGACTCAAGTCTAGAGTCTTATCTTGGGAGAGTTCTGACACTAACAGCTCTTGAATACTGATGGAGGTAGCAACTTGTCTTTTAAAGCCCTCTAGGAAAGGTGAGTTCTCCCAGAAGCTCTGCCACATTTCCCCGGGCAGTTGTCCCCGCCTCTGTTGTGCTCATGTTAGCACTTTGCCCCTTCCACCTGATACGTGTCTTGTTAAGAAATACCATCTTCCAGAACAAGAGGAAACCCCAGAAACCCCACTGTTTGCACTGGAAGAACACCCTTTGGGGGTTTTTGCTGATGACTGCTGCCACCAAGATAGGCCCAAGGACAGCTCAGAAAGGCTGCACTGTTTAAGAACCTGACTTTGAAGTTTAGAGAATAACAGAAGATTATAACTCTAGCTTGCTGGTTCTATTAGTTTAATGTGATTAGAATTACCTCATAGAAGTCAGATCTGTGAGGCCTGGGATGGAACTTAGTCTATGGTTCTGATGGAACCAGCTCTGGGACCCCACTTGGAGAAGCTCATCTCTGGATAGCTAATGTCCTTTAAGAGGCAGAATTCAGCTTCCAAGCTTGCATGCCCACACCACGTAAAGCCAGAAAGAAGTGGCACTCTTGCATGGATTTCTCCTTTCCAGCTCTCAGCTGTCTGGAACTGAGGGACACCATAATTGATGTCCACTTCCCGCAGAATCCTGTACACAAGGGCCTGAGGTCTCTCGAATCTACCCCATGTCTGCCCTTTGGCTTTGGTATCTTCTCTGAGGGCCTGGCCCCATCCCATATGGGGTCTCACCGTGTTGGAATCCACACAGGACATCTTGCACATCTCATTTCACAACTCGTCGTTGGAGATCTTTCTCCTCTACTAGACAGTGAGCCTAGAACTTAAGAAACATTGACAATCCATGGACCAAATTCTAAAACCACCTTCTGTTGGTAATTTGGTTACAAGAGTCAGACCTTGTGCACCTGTTGGCTGCAGACTTGCTTAAGCATCATGGGACCAACTGGAAGTCAAAGCAGCACATTTAGAGCAGTGTCTAGGATGGGCCAATAATGCTTTTAAAAAACCGAACCATTTTTAAGTTGATTACACTTCATATTAACATTCTTGAGTTCAGTCCTTAGCTCCATCATAAATAATTGTTCTTAACTCTCAGAGAGAACATTTTTAATGACATCCATCTGTAAACCACAATGTGAGTTTTAATGTTGATTTGAGGTTGCATTTTGGGCCGCTTGCCATTAAATGACAAAACTGTTTCAGAGACTGCTGCTCATCTCCCTTCCTAGACAACAGCAAGGTGCCCAACTCCTCCAAGGGCCCCCTTGGAGGGTGAAGCTGGGTGAGATCTCCTGCAGCAAATCTTACTCTGGATACTCGCTGGAAGGACAGAGTCTTCCAGACTCCAGGCCGGAGCTGAGTGAACTTGAACAACAGCACACTTCCATTACTCCTCACAGAAGCTCCCTATGCATGTTCACCCCTTGTTGGTTTTCTGGCCTATATCCATTCACCTCCCTGTTGACCTCACCTGTCACATTACAGTCACCAGGGGAACTCCGAAACAAAAAGGATGTCCTAGCCCCCTTCCAACCAATTAAATCTGAATCCCTGAGGTGGGGCCCTTGCATAGGTGTCTTTTAAAGCTCCCAGGTGATTCTAGTGTGCAGCCAGGCCTGGCAAACATTGCTCTAGCATGAGGCTTTACCCTCTATAGAATGCATCTTCTCTGCTTGCCCCACCAGGCACTCTTAAGGCCAGTCTCGGACAGTTACACCCCAGAGCAAATAAATTCAGAAAGAGAGGATTGGTAAGAGAAAGAGAGACACAATGCAAGGGCTGAAGGCCTCGAGGATACAAGACTCCCATCTCCCCCACCTTTTGACCAGTTAGTTGTTCTTGGTACAGGGCTGGGGGAGGGCACGGAGGGGCTGTGGAGTGCCGGGGTAAAGGCTGCCTCCGAGTCCAGAGGTGCAATTTGGCGACCTCTGCGCTGCATCTGACCTGCAGACACATTTTGTTTGGCCTGCAGTGTGGTTGCACATGTCAGTTTTAAAAAATGTGAATGCCAATCTCTAAAAGTAAGATCTCACATAGAGGCATTCTCTCAGGGTTGATGGCGTTCGACAGAGGACTCGGTGTGAAGCCAAACGGCGCACTTTTGAGTGTGGGCTCCGTGGTTCTCCATCAGCCGGCTTACTCCGTTCATGAAGGCAGTGGCTCGAAGTAGGATTTTCACACGTTTCCTTCTGATTTGGTTTCACCATTTGAGCAAAAATATTCCTGTAAAGAGTTACTTTGTATCAATTCTTCTGCTCTTTCACTAAGCTCTTCTGAGCCTGGGCTAGAAGGAAGGTCTGGCTTGAGAGAGAGCAGTCCTGGGATTAGTCTTGATTTTGCTGTGGAACCTAGGGCTATCTCTTAACTTCTCTGATTCTGAGTGTCCTCATCTATAGGGCAACAAGATCAAATAATTTCTAAGGTTCTGCTTCTGGCTTCCTGGGATTCCAGTGGCACAAGAATAGAGTGGAGACAATCTAGTTTGAGAGCAGCCTGTGTGTCAAAGTGAAGAAACTTGCAGTCAGGCTGTGGGAAGATCAGCACTGAAATGCTCGCCTGGAGAAGTCTGGGAGGCCTGAGAGGAAGGACCTGGAACTAAGGGGTAGAAGCTACAGTGACATGTGGGTTTCAACCATCCAAACTGGCCAAAGAGGGAATGAGTGGCGTTGGGAGGGAGGGAGTGCTGCCTCACTGGGGACATCCATCCAAGGCCAGGCGGCCACTTGGAGGGGATGTTGTAGGGAGAAGATGGTGGACAAGCCCCTTCCCACCCTTTAGAGATGCTAGGAAGGACACAGAGAGCCTGACACCCACCTCCTCTCCTTTAGGGAAAGAGTGCTCGTTAGGAATGCTGTCCCCACAGATTGGGATGTCGGCGCCTTGGTTGTTTTTAAACACTGTATTTAAAAAAAACTTCTTAAAAATATTTACGACAGTAAAGGTCGTTCTATGTAACAGGGGGACAGATGCCTTTGATGTGTTCCCCTTTCATTTCTACCTCAAAACAAGGTTAAGGCATAAATTACTCGGCTGGGCACCAGGTGTGCCTCTTGTCCTCGGGCCTCCGTCATTGTGGTACCACTTGTCCCATAGGCCAGGGGATCAGATGTTTGCCACCTAGGTTGCACAGGCTTGGGGGTTCCTGCACCGGCTTTATTCAGTGCGTTCCAGAGAGGACCCCTCAGCAGTGCCGGCGGAGCCCTTCTGTGCGCGGGTGGGCGGAGGCTGTGTGTGTGTAGGGAGGTGGGGGACGCAGGGAGGGAAGGCTCCCCACCCCTACCCCTGCTGCCCCGCCTGCAGCCAGGCCAGCGCGTTGGGCAGGCCGGCTGAGCGGGAAGATGAGGAGGGAATGCGCAGCCCCAGGGATTGCGTCATCCACAGGCCTCCGCGAGGTACCTAAGAACAGAAGTGCCGGAGGGGCGGCAGCCGAGGGGAGGGGCAGGGCCTGGGGAGTGTGAGTGCCCGTCCGTGGGAACGCAAGGGGGTGGAGAGTCCATCGGCTTCCATCTCCGGGAGGGTGCCCCGTATCCTGGGTCCCCGTTGCTCGTCAGTCATAGTCTCCAGGTCCCAGGTCCCAGAGTCTCTCTTCATCCCTGGCCAGCAGCTGTCACCACTAAGCCGTTGGGCTTGGGCTCATTCATGGGAAGCTCCGGGGACCTATCTTCTGTTCTGGGGAAGGAGGGCATGACTCGGGAGCCATTGGCAGTGAGGGGGTGGAAGGACAGTACAGAATTCGATCTGCTGTCCCGTTGGGTCCTTTTGGATCTAGAGGCCTGGAGTGTGCAGAGTGGGTTTGCAGTTTGCAGTCTCCTCTCTAGATTTCTTCTGTGGATGGGAATGATTAGGAATTCCTAGCACCTTAGTGGTGGGGCAGCTAATGTCCCCATAGAGCCTGGGGGAGGCTGTGGGTTGTGCCTTGGGGAGGGAAGGGGGCGTCCCTTTAAGTCCCTAGGGATCTGTATTGGAGGTGTCTTGGTCTCCGGTAGGGCAGTCCCTCTTAAAACTGGCGTGAGTTCCAGAGGGAGCAGGTTCCTCTCTCAGGAGATGAGGTCAAGTGCAAAGCGAGCTGGCGTCCTCTCCGCCCCAGCTCGGTGGGGCCACCGGCCTGGGCCTGTACACCACCTGGATGGGTGTCTTGGCCCCCATCGACTCGCAGCCTCCTCAGGAGCCTCACTCCAGCACTTTGGGGGTGGAGTCCAGGCTGGGCTCCCTCCTACGCTTGGCACTTTTAAAAAAGCCGAGCTGTGGGGAGGCAAAGGCAGAAGCCTCAGGGGTGGGTGGGGTGGACAAGGCCTGTCTCCCTCCCTGCTCGTCCTCCACTAAGCCTCCTCAGGCTCTTTCCTGCCGAAGGCTCCCCGGAATACCCCAGCTCCTGCTGAGAACCGCCCACCCCATCTCCCAACTACCCTGTGGGCCTCACAGTGGCCATTTGAGTTGGTGAGGGGACCCTGGAATGGGGTGGATGGAGCCCCGGGGCAGGAGACAGGAAGTCATGCTGTGTGACCCTGCCCCAGTCAACATTCCTCTCTGGGCCTCCCTCACTGTATCTGTAACAGGAGGAGGCTGAGACAGAGAAGGGCTCTAGGGGGTTTGTTAACAGACTGACTTTGCTGGAGAAATTTTGTGGTTGTCTGTACTTTTTTTCTGATAAGAGGAACCCTAGCTTTCCTCAGGTTCTCAAAGGGACTCACAAGAGGGTTGGAGCCATAGGTTGAGTGCCCTCTGGTGGCCCTAGCCAATCTGCCTGCCGTGGTGAGGGCAGCAGGCAGGTTCTGGGGAAGAGGCTGGGTGGGTACCCTCTCCCATGGGGAGGAGAATGTGGGGACTGGCCATAGAGTCTAGAGGCTGGAGCCCCAGGCTTGGGCAACAATCCAGGATGTCCCCCCCACCCCCATCCCAGGGTGCCCTCACCTTCCATAGCGCCAGGACCAGCAGGGCCAGCAGCAGGAGGCCCCCCAGTGTGCTGCCGACAATGATCCAGATGGGGATCTGCGAGTCTTCTTGCTTGGAGATCTCAAACGTGATCTGCAGGGGGAGAGGTGGGGCGAGGTCAACAGCACTGCTGTTCTGGGGGGGGGGGGGCAGGGCTGGAGGGCAGGATAGAGCTAGAACTTAATGGGAGAGCTGCCTGCCCTCCCTCTGGGAGATGCTGCAGGGATGGGTGGCAGCCAGCCCACAGGGGTCTCAGAGCTCCAGGTTCGGCACAGTGGACACCGGAGTTAAGTGACCCAGAGGGTCCCACCTCCTCTTTGAGACACTGTCTGCCTTTGGCCTCAGGCCGCTCTGGTCTGCTCTCCCTGGATCCTCCTCCTACCACGTGGGCTCTTTCTTGTCTTTGCTGCCTCCTCACCATCTCCCAAACTTCTAACCGTTGGTGTGTCCCCTGGTTCCGTCCTTGGACCTCTTCGTTATCTGCAGTCACTCCCTGGTGAGCTCAGGGCCGCCGACCCAGTAGGCACAGTGGGCACAGCACCCAGGGCCCATAGCGCTTTTAGGGGCCCATGAAAATGTCCTAATTTCTTTTAAAATTAGAAGAAAAAAACAAATATAATCTTGTCTGGATCCTATTTGTCTTTATATGAACATAGTCATAAAATAATAATTAAAATTTTTTGATGGAGGAAGGGGCCCTGAGGGAAAAGCCTCCGGGGCCGTGAAAGCCCCTTGCAGCCCTGGGTGAACCCACGCTGTCTAGGGCTTTAACCACCCACGTGCTGACCACTCCGTGTATCTTCCTTCTGCCTGAACTCTCCACTGAACTCCAGACTCGTATCCGACCTTCTGCTTGGCCCGCCTGCCGTCTTTACCAGGTACCGGAACAAACTCTTGATCCCACTACTCACCATCAGACCTGTTCCTTCAGTGTCTCTCCCATCAAAGCAAAGGGCAGCATCGTCCTTTCTTGCTGTTGTTCGGGTCAGAAACCTTGTATTTGTCACTGACTTACTTGCACACCCACGCGCACTCCAGCACCGTCTGGAGATTGCGATAGTCGCCTAACTGCTCCCTGCTTCTGCCTCGCCCCCAGCAGTCTGTTCAGAGCCCCCATGTCTTCACATCTCACTCGGTGTGAAGAAGAGAGTCCTTGCCCCGGCCTGCAAGGCCCTACGCTCTGGCCCTGTGGACCACGCTGACCTCATCTCCTGCTCTCTCCCTTGCTGCCTAGTCCAGCGCTCCAGCCACCTGGCCTCCAACACACCAAATCCACGCCCTTGGCATTGCTCTTCCCTCTGCCTGCAAGGCTTTCCCACAGACCCCATGCGACACCCCTGTATGGAACTCAGTTTCCCCAACTGTAAAATGGGGCCAGCCCTCCTGCTCTGCTGTCCCCCTGGGACGGATGAGAGGCTTCGAGGGGGACAGAGTGAGTCCCTAGTCAGGCGAGAGGTGCGATCACTGCTCACCAGCACCCCGCCCCCCACTGCAGCCCTAGCACCCCCTTCCTTTGAGCCCCCACAGCCCTCGCCTGTACCACCAACTTTGATTTCATTAAGCAGGGTCTTGTTACATTAGAAAAACAATAGTCCGCATGCTCTCCATCTGAGCATGGCTTTACTGGGGAGGCTTTTCCGATCTCCCGGTATAAAAGAGCAGTCGCCATCCTTATGCACCTGTGTTTTTCTGGGCAGAACTTATCAACTCTTGACATTGTGTATTTTTATGTTCATTGCTGTCATCCTGCCTAGAATGTCAGCTCTAGGAGAGCAGGGGCTCTATCTGTCGTGTCCACTGCTCTGTCCTCAGGGCCTGGAGCAGTCCTGGGACAGAGGAGGAGCTCAGTCTGCATGCTGAATGACTGAATGAGCCCCTGCAACAGCAGGGTAGAGCCCTGGCTTGGCCACCGACTCACTGCTCAACTTGAGGCAAGTCACTCTGCCCCTTCTGCCTTCTCTCACACAGCCTCAGTTTCCACATCCCTCACAGTACTGTGAGCAGGCAGCAAGATAGCCCATGCAGGGTCTGTTACAGTGCCCGGCACAAAATTAGGGCTCAAAAAGTGGCAGGTCCCTTATATGTTCTCTTTCCTCCCTGAAGGCTGGGACCTTGCTTGGCCTTCCCACTCTGGCACCGAGTGCAGAGCCAAGCTGGCAGGGCCTACCTTTGGGTAGCTGGATTCTGAAAGAGAAGTGAGGCATCCAGAGAGCCTAAGAGGGACTGTTTGGGGAGAGGTGGGAGTGGGAGGAGAAAGAAAATTCACTTAAAACACACAACCTAGTGTGGAGAGAGGGGTAATTTGTGTTGGGGGGGGGTGCCTGTACCACACCTCTTCTCCCTTGGTTGCCTGGAAAATTCCAGCATCTCTCTTAATATTCAGTTCAGGTGGACTGACATCCCTCACTCTGACCAACCCCTGTGCTCACCCCCAGATTGCACCCATGCTTTATTGTCCTCGTCCCCTGGTCTGCCTGATTCATCTCTGTACCCCTGGGGGGCCTGAGTCATAGGAGGAGCACTTGACAAAGGCTGAATGAATGAGCAAATAAAACTGCTCCTTAGGTGGGTCCCCCAGTGCTGCTTCTGGGCTCCGTACCTGCTACCCCTCTGCCTGCATACCCCGACCCTGCTGGTGATGGGCATTGGTGTGTTTTATTAAGGTCTGGCTTCCTGACCATGCCTATTTTGCTCTCCAGCGCCTCCTGGGTGGGGCTGGGGCTTAACCCCGCCTCTGACACCGGAAAACCCCCTGGAGCCCCGCTGCGGTTCAGGGATGTGGCCAGTGGAGGGCAGCAGTGTCCCATGCCCCTCTGCCTGTGGAAAGAGGACTGGGCTTTTCTTCAAGACTCAAGTTCTCTTTTCCCAGGAGAGCAGTCCACAGAGCCTCACCCCTCTCCTGGACCCTGATTCAATCCTGTCTGGCCTGCAACAGTCTGGTTTTACCCAGTTCAGAAAGAGTCCCAGGACTAAGACATCTCATACCATTGGTCTTCACAGATTCAGTTCACGCCAGACTTCTAGAGCACACGTCACGTGCATATAATTAGATTTGAGGTGCGAATGGATGGGAAGGAGGGGATGGGATGGTCCTTCTAGGCTGCCAGCTGCCCACGGGCCACCCTGAGGCAAGCTGGCCTGGGCTTCAGTTTCAGTTTCCTCTAGTGCAAAATACACAGGCTCCCCGCCTTTCTCTGCCTCCACTGGGCTGCTGTGGTGCAGAGCCGGGTGTCCCGAGGCCGGGGGCGAATACCTTCTTCCAGCTTTCTCCCTGCTTTTGCCCCTTATGGCCTATGTGTCTTGATTTGTCCCGCTCTGCTGCTGCCCTACCTCTGGCAGCTCTGCCCATTGCTCCGCTGCAGGAGCAGACACGGGCAGAGGGTGCAGGGAACTCCGGGCAAGGGCAACCCCTTCCTGAGCCGGCCTGGCCCAGCCCACGTCTGCAGGGCCCCGGGGCTCACCTGGCGACTAGGGTCCTCCTCGCGGAAGATGAAAGGACTGTGGAACTGCCTCTGCAAGCCGGCATTGACTGCAATCCTCGTCAGCCTGTACTTGAGCTGTAGAAGCAGAGGCCTCATCGAAGCTGGCCCTCCCCAGGTGGGAGGCTCCCGGCACCCCCTCCTCCCACTTCTTCCTTCCAGCCTCGCCCAGGTGCTTTACTTACTGCCTTTAGGGACCTCAACCACAGGTTCCCCAGCAGACGGAAATTGATTTCCTGGTTGGGGGCCAGCCTCACGTCGCAGTTGATGGAGACTACGTCAGAGTTGCTGTGATTCTGAAAGAGAAGGTGGGTCTGGGGCTGAGCAGCCGGGCTCTGGGGGAGCAGGGGAGGCAGCTAGCCTAGCCATGACCTGAGAGTGTGAGCAGAGCCCTGGGCCGCCAGAGAGAGGGCTCGGGGCACTGCTTGGCCAAGTGGGGTTTGCTCCTAGGGGAGCAGGGGCAGAGGACAGGGGACGAGGAGGGGAGGGGCTGTGGGGTACAGGGGTTGGGGCTGCCAGGGGATGGCGGGAGGACAAAGTAAGGATGGCATTTCTGAGGCTCCATTTGAAGTTGTGCATAATTGGGTATATTCCAGGAACAGAACTCTGGTTCAACATTAGGGAACCTATAAATGTCATCACCACACAAACAGATTATAGGAAAAAGTTATGATTATTGCAACAGATGCAGAAAAAGCATTTTAGGGAATTCAACTTCTGTTTATGATTAAAAACTCCCAGGGAACTTCCTGAATCTGAATAAAGGGTGTTTATAAAAAACTTTTGGCAAGTATCATATTTAAGAATGAAAAATTAAAAACAGTTCCTTTCAAATCATCAAGACCAGACTGTCATCACTTCTATTTCCCATTACGTGGGGGTCCTAGCCGGAGCAGTGAGAGGAGAAAAACAACTTATAAGGACTGAATGGTAAAGCTAAAGCTATTATTATTTCACATGATACCATCTTAATAGAAACCCCAAACAAAGCAGCAGGCAAAGAATTAGAATGTATTAGGTGACAGTTATTTGTGTCCCTCTCTTGCAGCCACCTCTTCCCCACCCGAGTCCTCAGTAGAGTGCACTGCACTCAAAGCATGCTTGGTGCGAGGCCCTGGTTTGGGGAAATAAGACTAAAACAGCTAAAAGTTTCGTCTGGGTAAGGGATCGTGGAAGCATGCTCAGAAGTTGGTATCTGGGGACAGGGTCACTCGGAGAACATAAACCCGGAGACGGGCAGGTGTCTTGGGGACGTGGTCAGTGTCTCCAGGACAAGCCCTGTGTGTTCGGGGCTCCCATGGTGCTGCGCCGTCCAGCTCCTTCCCCTTCCCTCTGCTTATCCTGTGGCCCTTTTAGGCTCAAGGGCAAGTCCACTGTCCCTGTCCTTTTATGCCCCAGGTTGTCTGCTCCTGCTGTCACTCTTTTGACACGGATCCCAGCTTGTTCTCTGGCTTCTTCAGCACTCACTCTTGTGTCACCTCCGAGCTGGTGAGCTCACTAAAGGCAAGAAGTATCTTTTCCTCATTCTGCTTCCTCTTGGTTTGAGGCTGGGCACACGCAGGTGCTCAGCGAGCTCTTAGTGACAAGCTATTGGATAAGGAGAGAAAGGGCCCCGGGGCTCAGCCGGCACTCCTCTTCCCCCTCCCCCACGGCTCTTGGCGTGCGGGCCACTCACCAGCTGTGGGGCACGACTCAAGTCTTCCTCTGTCGGGGCTCGCCGGTACTCTGTGCTGTTCCCCTGGATGTTACAGGACGTGTTCACCTACATGAGGGACACACACGACCAGCCTCACAACCAGCGTTGGCAGACTCAGCACCCTAGGGATGTTCTTTTCACCTCTTCCCAGAGGAGGCCCAGCTGGCCCTGGTCCTGGGAGAAGGCACTGAGGTCTGAGGACTTGGGGACACTCTTTCTGGTCCCCTCCCCTAAGCCAGCACCCAAGGCCTCGGTACCTGGTCAGTGAGGAAGTCCCCCAGCATCAGCAGGCGGTTGCCGCCCCTGGTGGCGATGGGAACGGTGATCTTCATCATCACCCCGTGGATGGGGAACAAGCCCAAGTTCTGGATCTGTGCCCGGAGAGGGGAGGCGTCAGGGCACACAGCAGCAGCTGGGGGTGGAGGACGAGGCCCACAGGGACCAGCCAGCCCCCGGGGGCCGCGATCCCCGCAGCTGGGCCTGGGAAACAGGCCCCTTCAAGCCCCCTGGCGTTTTCTCTGTAGAAGCTCTACAGCTCTGCCAAAGCCCGGCCTGGGGGCTGCGCAGATGGACGTGCGCGATGGCGCTGAAGCGGGCGGGCTCCCGCAGGCTGAGGACAAGTCAGCGGTGGCGTGAGGCCGGAGAGCAAGGGTCACTTCCGTTTCCAGCCTCTCTTGGCTGTGGGAACTTTGTAGCCTGGTGCTGGTGGCCACCCTGGGCAGAGGCCGGGGATGGAGATGGCACCAATTAATTTATTATGAGAGGATCATTAATTAATGAAGGATATAAATAGTATGTGATAGTTCACATTCCAGCTGTGACACATTCGGTGTCAGAGCAGCAGTGATTACGAGCAGGGCTTTGAATTCAGAAAGGCTAGGAATATAACCCAGGGCTGCCGCCACGTGTGAGCTGTGTGGCCTTGGGCAGCTTGCTAAACCATTCTGGGACAGCCATCCAGGTGTCAATGAGTCTGACTGCAGTTCCCAGCTGTCACTTGCCCCCAGCTCTCACACAGTGCTTCAGAGGTGGGCGAGATCGCAGGGCCCGCTGTGGCAGAGACTGCCAACGCGCCTCCCAGTTCTCCTTCTCCCTCCTACTTTAGTGACAGGAACCAAGACAGAAAGCCGCAGTGCCTAGCCTGCCTCACAGCTGGATCACAGCGTGCTGGACAACGAGAGGTGACGTAAGTGCCAGCACCGCCCAGCAGATCTTCTCCTCTTCCTTCTTGCTGCCCGGAATGAGAACATGATGGCTGTAGCTGCAGCCATTTTGGACTATGAGGTGAACTCGAGAGGCTGATAATGGTGTACTGAGGATGGAGGATGGTGGGACAAATAGAAGGAGACCCAGTCCTGGATGACTGTGAAGCCAGCAACTCCTGCCTTCTTATATGGGAGAGAATAAACCCTGGTGTGTTTATACCACTTTTTTTTATATTTTAAAAATTATATTCAGCCACACCTAGTCTTCACTGATACATCCTCCTAGTCCAGCCCTGTAATTTTCCAGATGAGGCCTGAGAGGCCCAGAGAAGGGATGTGGCTTGCCTAAAGTCACACAGTGAGTGGACGGCAGGGTTGAGGCTGAGCCCCAGGCACTAGCAATGAGTCCAAATTCCTCTCCCCCCAGATAGGGGATCCTCAACTCCGGTCCTCCACTCTCCACCCGGCTCCCTCCAGCCTTACCTTGAAAACACAGGAGAAGGGAGGCCCAATGCCATCATATCTCTCCAGTGAGCTATTGGGCTTGACCTCGTAGTGGCTCAGGCTGCTGCTCCTGCAGGGACAGAGGACAGGGCCGCCGTGAGCTCAGTCAGTGCTGGCTGGAGGGTGAATGAACGACAGGGGTGTGGGCACGTGCCTGCCTCCCCCTAGACCTCTTGTGTCCATTGGAAGTGCTGTGTTGGGAAGGATTCTGAGGCTCAGCAGAAATCAATGGCTGAGATGGGTCGTCTGTGTCTGCCTCGTGATGGGGATGGGCATGAGCCAGAAGAGCCAGTTATTTGCCCCCTGCCCTGGCCTCTCTGCCCAGGGCGTGGCCTCTTTGTGCACGTTCCAGCCTCTAGCAGTGGCTAGGGGTGAGCTCCCACTGGGAGCTCTCAGAGGAGAGCCCGTGGCCCGGGGCACACCAAGGGGGTGGATGGTGGGAGCAGTGTGCCCTGTGGGAGGAGCATTTTCTCACTGCACTGTTCAGAATTGCTGGTCCAGGGTGGGAATGAAAAGCAGATGGCCTCGTAGTAGCTTTTATTACCATTTTAAAATTCTCTACAGACCATGCCCCCAGCCCCCATGCCCGCACCTGGCTGGAGGCGACCCCCTGCCCCAGCCCTCCCCCTCCACCCCAGCTGGGAGATCCCTGGGGGCCAGGGCGGTGTCTCCTCCTTCCTCTATTCTGACACCGCCTCCCCTCTGTGGATGAGGGGGTTGCACTCTCTTACCCCTCAGGGACACACTTGGCTCCATCTCATGGTCCCTCAGCCCTGGGCCTGGCCCCCGGGACCTCCGACCCTCTGAGGACCCCAGGGGTGTCCCATCTTAGGCCTCGCTCCCCGGTGCCTCCCCTCCCTGGGGGTCCCAGGGCCCCTGCCTACCTGGTGAAGAGGATGTCAGCCTCGTACTTGAGGTGGAAGCGCAGGAGTGCCGTGTTGTCCTCCTTGGTGCTCTCCTCCTCGTCACTGTCACTGCAAGGAGAGCCAGGCGGTGCGGTCAGGCAGGAGCGGCCCTCCCTCTACCCAGGTCAGCCAGCTCACGGGCAGGCTCACTGCAGCAGGAGGGACCCGAGTCAGACTGAGAAGGAGCAGCCTGGCTCTTCTAGGGCTGAGGAGCGAGCACCGGGCCAGCCTGGGAGGGAACCAGAGGCATCTCCTAGGAGGGGAGGGGCCGGGAGGCGGGGGACTGGTGACAGTAGCTTTCCTGTCGCCTTCTAGGCACAGCACGTCTGGGCTGGTGTGGGGCAGGGAAAGACCGAATGGCAGTTGGGAGGACAGTGCCCTCCTCACTGAGCCTCCTGTCTGTGGACTGGGAAATCCCGGGCTGTGGGTGCGAAGGGTAAAGGCTGGCTGCTCTGCCTTGGGAGGCGGACAAGGAGGGCTCCACAGCAGCGTGGCTTGTCTGTCCTCCATCCGCCCCTGGGGCTGGCTGGGGTGGCGCTGAGGGCGCTTTGCTGCCTTGGAAAGGCCAGAGAGCGAAACTCAGAGACTTTGCAGGAAGTTTCGTCAAATACACTGCCCTTTACATCTGAGCACAGTGAACAACCAGAGCGAATAATTTTGGACATAAAAACATATGATTTCTGCTCGTTACCTACAGTAAGTTTTATTTCCTTTGGAAGCCTGACACCAGGATAGGTGTTTAGTTAGAAAAGGGAGACCAGTGTCCCCCTCCTGTACGTGTCTAATTCACAAACACCCACAAACAGCCTAGGGGTGCATGGCACTACTCTGCAAGGGCACTCATCTTCCCGTGAGAACGGGCTGTGTTCTGAGGGCAGGGAGCTGCGTGAGGGTGGCCTGAGGGCCTGACACATCCTATGATCCTGCTCTCACGTGGAGGGAGAGGTCCCCCAGAGTGCACAGCTTGTGTACCTACAGCCGGGAGGTGAGCTGTGCTGGGCTGTGGATCCCTAGTGCTCCCATGACCGCTGGCTTGCATGCGCATGTGTGTGTGTGCATGCGTGTGTGTGCGTGTGTGTGTGTGGGCTGGAATGTCGGTGTTGGGTTTGCTTGCAGTATTTCCTTCTCAGTGTGGAGTTCTCAGGAGGGTTTCTAAGGCTCCAGAGCAGCCAGAATCCTCCCTGCCTCCAATGTGTTCACTGCTGACACACGGTGATTCACGGTGTCAACAGATAGTGAGCCACCTCAGGGGGGCCTGGGAGACACACAGACAGATCCACATAGAGTCAGGCTGTGTGTTGTTGGGAAACTCACTCAACTCTGAGCCTTGTTTTTCTTACCTGTAACTTGGGAGGTAGGGTGAGAAATAACCCCTGCTTTGCCTTTTTTTTTTTTTGGTGAGGAAGATTGGCCCTGAGCTAACATCTGTGCCAATGTTCCTCCACTTTATATGTAGGATGCCACCATAGCATGGCTTGATGAGTGGTGTGTAGGTCCATGCCCAGGATCTGAACCCATGAACCCTAGGCCGCCAGAGCAGAATGCATGAACTTAACCACTACATCACTGGGCTGGACCCCTGCTTTGCCTTCTTAAGGTGCTGCTGTGAGGACTGACTGAGATATAGTATGTACAGTGATTTCTAACTGCAGGGTTTCTAAGTAACTGCTATACAAAATGCCGTATAAAGGTAGGGGTATTATTTACATCCAGGCCGCCCAAGAATGGACGCTGAGGCAGCACAGTTGGCAGCAGGCTGCCCACGCTGCGGGGTTGGTCAGGGCAGTGAGGGACAGGGCGTGGTGGGGGACTCAGTGGGGGAGGGGCAGCTGCTAGCAGCAGAACAGGCCCAGGAGCATCCAGCCGGGGGAGAGGGGTGGGGGGGGGGGCGGCGAGGCCCTGACCTGCCGGCTGTGAGCTGGATCTCCAGGTGGTGCAGGAAGATGGATTTGCTGAACTCGAAATCTAGACGGAAGGCCACCTGCAAGGAAGAGGTCACTGCAGCAGGGGTGGTGGCGAACTGCATGTCTGGGCGTTGCCCCAACCAGCCCTGGCCCAGCCTCCTGCCCCTGCCTGCTCGCTCGGTGGCCCTGCTGGCTGGGAGTGGGCTGGAGGAAGGGAGGACCAGGTGCCGGAGTAACATGAGCTGAGTGGGGGGCTGCCTTGGGGACGCAGCCAAAGACAACAGCTCCCCTGGTGGGGTTTCTTGGCTGTGGGGCCAGCGCTCCTCCCGCCTCTTCCTTTTTGTTTTTAACTAAGGCAACTAGAAGAGGACAGCAAGTCCAACTTCAGACTCTTTCTGCAGGGTTTTCGGGGTGGGAGACGATGGCAGGAGGGGAGATGGCCATCACCGTGCCCCACAGGATGTGGGGGCCAGAAGACCACCTCATCCACCCCTTGTTCTTGCATGTGGGGGTGGGGCTGAGGCTGCCCCTGGGACCTGCTTCCTTGTCCAGCGGCCCTCCCGCCACTCTGATGGGTCCTGAAACTTCCCTGGGCCTTTGCCCGGGAGTGGGGCCTGGGTCCCCTGACTGTGGCCCTGTGACATCTGACCCTTCTCGCAGCTTCTGCCAGACCTCGGGGTGTTACTGGGGCTTTGCTCAGACCCCTGGGCTCTTCCCAGGTCTGGCCCTCATGGAGTTCCCCAAGGAGGCCTCAGGGCCCCATTCTCCCAGGGAGTGGCCGGGGTGGGGTGGGCAAGCTCGTGCTGCTCCCTGGGTCTTCACTCTAGAGCTCCTGGGTTTGTCAGTGCCTCACCCTGAAAACAACAGTCTTGACCTGTATCCTGCTGAGGAGGGTCTTTGACAAGGAGCCATAATCCCCTGCCCCCGGCTCCTCCTCTTCCCCAGCCTTGCAGACGCTGCTCCCCAGCTGGCTTCCGCCTCAAACTCCCCTCTATCTGATTCCCACTTTACAAGCAGCTGGGCCTCAGTCAGGTCTTCTCTTGCTCCAGAACCTCCAGTGGCTGCCCACTGCCCCAGGGTGATGGGCACACGCCCCACAATGTGGGGTCTACCTTCCTTTCCCTGCTAATGAGCTTCCCCCGTCACACACACCACACTCCCTTCATGTGCACTTCCGAGCACATGGCAGTGCCAAGAAATGTTTGCTTTTCTCCCCGTCTCTCCCCATGCACGGCATGATGGCAGAGCTCAGACATTTAAAAACTTGTTAGGATAAATGACAGTGGGATTGGCCAAGAGGTGATGGGAAAGGGGTGGGGGGAGTGACAGGACCCCCCAGAGGTGAAGGGGCCTCTCTTGGGCGGGCTGGCTCATTAGGTTATTTGAATGTCATTCATGGGAGGAAAATCTAATATTCTTAAAAGCCACTGTCAGGTCTCTCTGTCCTTCCCAGTCATGCCCTCTGCTTGCTTCCATTTCTCTTGCCTCCCTGGTGCCTCCCAGTACCCTCCCTGGTCCCACCCCGGAACAGCCCCCAGCCTCAACCTTGGCCTTGGCCCGGAAGAAGGGGTAGCTGACATTGCAGACTTTCTTGTGGAGTCTCCTCTCCTCATTCACGCACTCGATGCTGCCGTCCGAGTCGTCCTGGGGGCGGGTGGGGATGCCACAGACAGCAGTCAGGAGGGGCCTGAGACCAGGCCTAGGACCGCCTTCCCCCAAGTCCGGGTGGAAGCTGCAGCCCAGGCCAGTGGGTCTGGGACTACGGGGCCCTGGAGGCTGGGGTGTGGCTTGGTTCTGGGGCGGAAGCGTGGTGGGCACAGTGTAGCCTGTGGACGCACTCATCGCGGCCTCGTTGGAAAGTGGCAGGTGCTCATGTGTGTGCTTTGTCATTCCCCCTGTATCGCGCCCGGACGCAGACTTATCATCCCGCTTACAGGTGCGACACTGAGGCCCAGAGGCTGCAGTGAGGAGCTCAGCCCGCTGGAGAGCGGCCGGGCTGGGCTCTGAAGGCTCTGCAGTCTGGCTGTCCTGCCTCCTTCTGGCCCTTTGATTGAGGCACGTCTTCTGCCAGAGGGATTGGAAAGGATCCTTTTGAGCCATGAAATGAGGCTTCAGGGTCTTGCATGACTTTGTAACCCAGAATAATGGTGGGCAGGTTGTGGGCTGACCTCCTGGCGGGGCCATGGGGGTCTTTCTGAGACTCTATTCCACCTCCCCCAGGGCGGGGCTGTGTCTGTGCCTCCCAGGAGCTCCCCCGGAGCCTCTGCTGCCACAGGCTTTCCCCGCAGCGCTTTCTCTCTTTTCTCTTTTTCCATGGCTCCGCCCCTTTCAAGCCCTCCCACCACTGTTTGGTTCAGGGCTCTCAACAGCAGGTCACTCTCTGGCTGGTGGCTATTCAGAAAGAGGTGGCAGCGTCTAGGGGGAAATGCCACCAGGCTTCCCTAGCCTGTCTGAGCTGGGGCCCCACTGGGCTAGCACAGGTGTCCCCTCAGCTCAGGTCCAGCAGGAAGGGACTCTCACGCGGTGCTCTGGCTGACGCTGGTTGGCCCTGAACTCATTTGCATGGGTCTCACTTTGCTCCTCTGTTAAATGGGGACGATAGTACCTGCCTCGTATGTTATGAGGACTAAATGATACAGTGCATGTAAACGCAGTGCCTGGTTCAAGGCCCAGAATAGTGTCATCATGCAATATGGCAGCTATCATTATGACAGCCAGCCCTGGGGGTCCAGTGGTTAAGACTTGGCGCCCTTGCCATCGCTGCCTGGGTTTGTTTCCAGGCCAGAGGACCACACTGCCTGTCTGTCAGCTGTCACACTGTGGTGGCTGTGTGGTGTTATGTTGCTGAAAGCTATGCCACCTGTATTTCACATGCCAGCAGGGTCGCCCATGGTGGACAGGTTTCAGTGGAGCTTCCAGACTAAGACAGACTAGGAAGAAGGACCTGGCCACCTGCTTCTGAAAAAACTGGCCCTGCAAACCCTGTGAATAGCAGCGGAGCACTCTCTGATACAGCGCAGAAAGACTGGGCAGGGCTCTGCTCTGCTGTACACGGGGTCGCTAGGAGTCGGAATAGAATCAATGGCACTAACAACAAATCATTATAATGATTATTTGTACCTGCCTTGGGCACCGCCTGGGCGCATGCCTGTGTGTATCTCTGGTATGCATTTGCATGTGGATGTAAAGGCACATCTGTGTAGACTCTGTGCGTGTGGGCCTGCATGTCGGTGCACGTGTGTGCATGCACCCAGTGGCATGTATACAGAGCATGTGCCTTTCCTCGGCTGTATCTGGAGGTTTGTATGGTTTTGCCTGTGTGTGGTCAGACTGACTCGTTTGTCTGTTGCTGGGAGGATGTGTCCTCCACTAGAGCTCCCCTTGGCCGGGTGGTAGGGCGCGGGAGATGGGTCGGGAGCGCTGACTGCACCTGTGAGCGGCTCCCGGGCTTGAATGCATGGGTGGCATCTGTGAAGGAGCCGGGCTGCAGGCTAGGCCTACACGCCACCTGCCGTGTGTGGACCCGGCACTGTACAGAAGGTGCTCCCCACTTCTCTTTGCCTCTGCTCAGCTCCCAAAGCCCTTCTGTGCCACAGAAACAAAACTCCGTGATTCCTCCCCGCTAGGGTTATGAACAGGCACAGGATTGTAAGGGCTGGCAGTGAAGCGGGAAGAGGTGGAGGCAGGTTTGGGGCTCAGTTTCCCTAAATACCCCGAATCCAGACAGAAAATCTATCAGCAGGAGAGGACTTTGAAAGACCATCACATGGGCCCCTCATCTTCCCTCCGGGCCGTGGAGCAGGAGCGGTGCTGGGGCCCAGCCCCGGGCCTGCCAGAGGGACTAAGTGTGGCCACGCACAGGCCTTCATTCAGGCGGCACCTTGAGGTCTGTCTGAGGACACTGAGAGCCCCCGGAGGGGCAGGGAGGGAGGACACAGAGACCAGGTCTCCCCTGACTTTCCTGGGGTGGCCTCCCTCCAGTCAGCTTTCCCACCTGGCTAAGGGAAGTGCTCGTGTGTGTGCGTGCGCCTATGGCTGGGGAGGGCCCGTTCTGCACTGGGGCAGCGGGTGCTGGGGGTGGTTCTGCGTTGGAGGTGAGGACAGAAGGGCCGACATCTGTCCCGGCCTGCACCCTGGGCTCCACATTGACACTCAGATCTGTGAGGACGGAGTCTGTGTCTGAGGGGACCTGGGACCCCCCCAGCACCACACAGGACAGCGATGTCCTGCGTTTATTCAATAAACATGTCTTGAGGGACTTGTACGTGCCCAGCGCTGGCCCGAGCCCGGGACAGACTTGGCTAAGACAGCACTTGCCCCCCGGAGTTCAGTGCCACAGGGCAGCCCTCAGACTCTGCGGACTTCCTCGGAGCATGCACAGGGCTGTGCCAGAGGGCTGTGTGGGGCTGCCGGGCCCTGTGTGGCCTGTTGGGGCTTCAAGAGGGTATCCAAGAGAGCATGACAAGAGGACGATGCTCTGTCAGGAAGTGCAGGCTCAGGAGCCAGCTGCTGGGCAGAATCCCGCTCTGCCACTTACCAGCTCTATGCTCCACACAGCCCCTCTCTGTGCCTCAGTTCCCTTCTCTGCAAAATGGGGATATCACCACCACCATCCCCAGTACTACCACCACCTCGCAGGGTCGTTGTGAGGGATAATGCATGCAAGAGCTGAGCACAGTGCCCGGACACTGTAAGTGGTCACCAAGAAAGAACAGCGGAGGGAGGGAGTTCCAGGCAGGGGACTGTGGTGGGCAGGGCCTCGGTGTGGAGGAGCAGCTGTGCTGGGGAACAGCGGCAGCTGGTAGGAATGAGGGTGGGGGTGGGAGAAGGGGCAGGTGGAGGGTGGGGAAGCTGGAAGGCCTTGAATGCCACACTAAGGAGCTGGGAATTTGTTGTGAAAGCAGCTAGCAATGATTGGAAGTTTGAAAGTGGGAGCAACCTGTCCTGATTCTTGTTAGAAGGACCCTTTCGAGAAAGCCTGGAGGATGAACTGTAGGCAGAGGGTGTGTATGTGCTGGTGTGCATGCACGTGGCGGGGGGTGTGTGTGCACGTGAGCATGCCCCTATATAGGGCCAAGGACACAGGCTGACGGACATTCCTCCCCACATTCTGAAGGGCTCAGACTCCCCTCCCCCGTGGTTGTCAGCCCTGGCTGCCCACTGACATCACCTGGGCAGCTTGAAAAGCACACAGATCCAGCCCTGCCCCAGACCTATTAGACTCTCCAGAGAAGTGTGGACATAGGTATCTTTAAGCTCCCAGGTGATTCTGATATGCAGGCCCCCCGCCTGGACCCCCCTTTCCTGCCTCTGCCCTTCACCTCAGGCAGGACTGGCAGGGTCGAGGTCTTACCTTCTGGATCAAGCTTGCAAACTGCAGGTTTGCTGACTGTGAAATATTTAGGACTGTGCTATAGGCATTCTCGCCCTTGTTCTCCAGCGTGGCCTCCACCGCCACCCGTCGGCGCGTGTTCTCTATGATGAAAACCGTGGTGTCGAAGGACAGTGTGTATGCGGAGCAGTCCTGGGCGGGCTTCCTCAACACCCTCTGACAGTACTCCCTGTGGGAAAGAGACCACCAGGGATTACTCAGATGGAATGGGAATGCGGCGTAGACCTCATGACTCATGGATCACCTCTCTATTCAGCATGTTTCCCTTTCGGCTTTGGCTGCCAGGAAGCTCAGAGCTAAATGTAGAGACAATCCTGATTATTAGCTTAGAATATTTTCTTCTTCATCCTTCTATAAGGTTTGAATGTGCTACTTCTATTTATTGTATGTGTCATGGTACATATGTCTTCTATCTAAATCATCTCATGGTTGGATAAAAGTTGAGCATAAATTACTTGAAAATATATTACATAAATTTAAAATAGGATATTGTTCATTATTTTTCTTTGCATCCTAGTTTGTTTCTTCCAGGGGATTGGGGACACACTGCTCATCCTCTGCTAGTCTCCTTAGCATCGAGCCCAAGCACTCAGTCGATGGACCCTAGAGATCACCTAGTCTAGAGGTTGGGGGATGAGCACCCAGAATTCTGCATCTCTGGTCTCCACCTTTTATCTGTTTTGTAGTCTGGGTGCTAAAGAAAAGATTCTCTTCTCTAAACAAAGTTTGAGGAGCTTGAGGATTACACTATTCATTTTACGGAGGAGGTAACTGAGGCCCAGGACGGGGAAGGGACTTGTCTGAGTTCACACAGGAGCTGGAGGCAGAGCTTGGGCTAGACCCTGCCTCCACGTGCAGTGCTGCACCCACGCTGTCTGCGTGAAGGATGTGCAGAAAATCATCCAGGCCCTGGGGCCCCAGATGCACCAGCAGGGAAGGGAAAGGTCTCATAGTTGGGGCGCGGAGGAGCTGACTCACATGGCTGTGGGCAGGTCACTGCGGGCATCCAGCAGGAGGTCGGGGACACAGTGCTCGTCCTCATTGCAGCCGTTCCAGAAGGGCACCTGGACCAGGGAGAGCCAGCGGTGGGCGGCTGGATAGGGACACACAGCCTCCAGCACCCTCCTTGTGCCACCCCTCACGCCCCAGCACACCAGTTCTGCTCTCTACTGCACTAGACACGGGTTTTCTCTTTGCCCTCTTCACAGACGCCACACTGCTTGTCCTCTTCTTTCACATAGTTACTCCTTTCTTTAAAACATGGCTCAAAACTCAACTCTTCCTGTGTCCCGTTCAGTTCTTAACTGAGCTGATAGCACAGAACACCGCACTCACCCAGCAGAGCGGTTCCAGCCAACACGTACTGATCATTGACTGTGGGAGTGGGCAAGGTGGTTGGTACTGGGGATGTGGGATGAGGAAGACACAGCTTCTGCTCCCAGCTCATGGGGAAGACTGGCATGTGAATAAATAATTGCAATGTGAAACGTGAAAAAAAAAAAAAAAGAAATCTGTATGAGGAATAGAAGAGGCAGAAGGGAGGTAACAGTTATTTTGGCCTGTAGATGGTCAGAGAAGGCTTCAGGAAAGTGACAGTAGGTGAGAGTTCTGAAGGATGACCAAGTTAGCTAGATGGACCATGAGGAGTGGGAAGCCAGGGAGGAAGGACAAGCTTGTGCAAAGGTCCTGAGGCATGAAGCAGTGTGGTGAGTTTGGGAAATGACAGGTAGTTTAGTGTTGCTGTAGTAAGCGGTGGAGGAGATGGAGGGATGGGCAGGGGCTAGTTCTTACAGGGCCTTGGGGTCATGCCTTGCAACTGATAGGAATCATCGTCTACTTTTGGCAGGGAAATGTCCTGCCAGACTCGTATATTGAAAGCTGCTGTGAGTGGATAGACTGGAAGGGTCAAGACCAGAGGCAGGGAGACCATTAAGAAGGCTGCTGCAATGTCCATGTAAGTGATGATGATGGTGTCAGTGTGGTAGTGGGTGTGGAGAGGAGAAAACAGGTCAGGGACCTTAGAGGTGGGACCCATAGGACCTGGAGTTCGTCAGGGTTAAGGGAGAAAAAGGGCCCAGAATGCTGGCAGAGTTTCCTTTTCAGTGTCTGGAAGGACAGCCACACCGTTTACTCATCCATGGAGGGGTTGAGTGGAGGAGTTCCGTTTTGGGGCACCTTGAGTTTGAAGCATCTGTGGCCCATCCAGGGCGAAATGCTCAGCAGGCAGTTGGGTATATTCAAGTCTAGAGCTGAGGCGCACAGCTGTCCGTACCAGGAACACAGCCCAAACCCAGGCGAGGGGAAGCGGGTGTCACAGAGGCCATGCATGTCTTAGATTCATTAACTTTTCCCAAAGGTGAGCTCCCTAGCCCTTGCTCAGATCCATGTGCTCTGATATCAGACACGTTTCAATCCAGCCCGCCCCTCAGCTTGCCCATTGCCCAGTGGGTGTGCAGCTGTCTCTTGACCTGCATTTTAAGACAGCCTCTCCTAGGCATCTGTGTTGCATGATCAGGAGGAGAGGGGAGGTGTGAAGGTGGAGGGTGGGGCGGTGGAGTGTGGGAGGTCTGGGCCGGGGGATGCTGGAGGTGCATGAGAGCAGACAGGGGACTTTCAGAAGCCTTGCTGTTGACTATACAGCCCTTTTATGTTGGGGAAATACAAATAAGAATGTGAATAATTTTGAAATTATTTTCAGGCTGGATTCTATATAATTCTCAGAGACTGGACCTCACAGGTCATGGTCTTAAGGGCATTGTGGTATATTTTAAAGTTATTTCCTAAATGCTCAGGGTTCAGTTATTAGATATTTCATTTGACACACTTTGCCTGCTCTCCTAGCACAGCTCAGGCAGAACTGATAACTGCCTGACGTTACCTTTGAGCGCACTTTAGGTGGAGCTGCAGGTACAGGAGCACCTGAATATTAGACACCAGAAAACTCTGATGTCCCTACAGTCAGAGATTAGAAAATATAGTTGAGGGGTAGGGCCAGAGCCAAGGCTGAGGCCAAAATTACTTATTTTTGGAACACTTAGGAGTGGGCTGGGAGGACTGTCTGTTAGTCAGTCATTCAACAAACCGCAGACCAGGCTGTGAGTGGTCGAGTCACTCTCTCCAGCCTCCAGTGCCCTCATCTGTAAATGAGGGAGGTGGGCGATGGAGAGCTAAGGGTCCTTCTGGTCCTGTGATTCTCCAGGGCCCACTCAGTGCTCACCCCATGCTGGGGCTACGGGGAAGCTTGAACAGAAGGCCTGGGCCTTCCCCTGGAGAAACTGTTCAGCACAGGTCACAAGGGAGGAGCGAAGGAGCCCCGTGTGGGTTTGCCGGGCAGGAGGTGGGAAGGCGTGCTGGGGGCAGAACTCCTTGGTACCTGTCACACTCTGGGTCTGGGCTGGGGTGGGGTGGGGGCGGGGCATGGGCCGGAGTTGTGCACTGGGATGTACCGAGACTCTGAGGGTAGTGGGCCAGCCGTCGTCCAGCATGGGGCCGTGGTCGGGGTCCTCCAGGGAATACTCGACTGAGAAGGTCACTGGCTTCACGTAGTCAGCGGTGTCCTGTGTAGCGAGAAGATGAGGACAGGGGTGAGGGTGGAGGAGCATCCATCTCTGGGCCAGGACCACTGAGAGAGAACTTCCCCTTCCCTAAGTCAGGAGGGCAGCTGCCCTGTTGGCCCTCAGGATCGGTTGGGAATAGAGCAGCTGCCCTGGGCGGATGGAGATTCCCAGTGGGGTCCGTGGCTGAAGACTGTGCCTTGTGGAGAGGGGCCCTGGGCTCGGCATTTGCCAGCCCAGCTGCCTGCATGTTTCACTAATCTGCGGGTCATCCTCAATGCCAGGCACCCGTCACCCAGCACCTCGGCCTCCAGGAAGCCAGGCAGTGCCCCATCCCCACAACCTGTCTGGACCTGTTACTACAACTTCTCACTGGCATTGAATCCGATTATGTGTCAGTCTTTCTCCCTCAGAAGCCTCTTGGCACAGTCGCAGCCCTGTGACAGGGCTTCACAAATGTGTTAAATCAGTGAATGAACAAACGAGTGAACAGAACGGGGGCGATGCAGGTTGGTCCCACGTATAGATGGGAAAGAAGGGGATGCTTAGAGCTGCCCTAGGCTCTCCCCCCTGCACCCCACATCCTGACACGAGCGGCTCCTTTGCATTAAGGCAGTGGCTCTCAAACTTGAGCTTGCATCTGAATCCCGGGGGGCCTGTTAACAGGCTGAGCCCCAACCGCAGTTTCTGACTCAGGGCTTCTGGGAAGGGGCCTGCGAACGTGCATTTCTACCAAGTCCCCTGGTGATGGGGATGCTGTGGTCTGGAGAACCGCACTTTGAGAACCACTGCACAAACACGTCAGAGGGGACAGTGTATTAACAGACACGAGGACTTCTCCTATCTGCTTGCTTTTCTGACCTTTGGCCCTTGAACTCCTGGGGTCAGGCGGGCTCTGAGTGCCCCCTGCTTGTGTCTCTGAGGCTGGAGCTGTGGCCTGGGTATTTGAAGCTTCTGGAGGAGACAGATTTCTCTTGCACTTCCTTATCTGTAACATGGGGCACGCCCTGGGTCCCCCTCTCTGTCAGGCTGGCCTCTCTCTGTCCCTCCTCCCAGCTTGTCTACACTACTGGCACCCCCTCCCTGGTCTTCATTGTTAGCCAGTGCCTGGGAACTGCCTTTCGAGCCATGGCCTCCGCTGGCTGACCCCTGTCTCTGCTAGATCCCGCCAAGCCCTCCTCAGATTTCAGCCCGGGCTAAAGAAATGGCGGGCATCTGAGAGCTGATGAAGAAGGGATCTTGGAGGAGGGTACGATGAGGTGGTAGCTAGTGTGTCCCAGTGGCCTTTTCTCTGGGGCATGAGTACGGGGTGGCTGAGGTCCAGGACACTGCCCCCTGGCTGGGCCGTCTGAGGTCTGCTGGGGGCTCAGAACCAGCCTGGCACCAGCTGAGTCCTCTGCCTCTCCCTCCTCCAGCTCTGTGTCCCCTTCCTGTAGGAGCTCCGGCTCTGCTGGTGGCACTGCTGGGCGTCAGGCTCACCAGCACATGGAAGTTGATCCGATCACAGTGTTCCTGGCCGGAGAGGAGCAGGACAGCCCTGTTGGTGTATCGGTCCCCGCCCTCATCCAGGTGGGCCCGCGGCGTGTACCGCCTCTCGTCCATGGTGGCATTGTACCTGATGCCTGCAAGAGGCAGAGGGCAAGACCAATAAGGTGGAGCCACATTTCTACCCGAGACAGTTTGCCTCTCTTTTAAAATAGCCTCTCGAAAAGCAGCCTCCTTCAGGAAGCCCTCCAGGCTGTCCAGGGAAGAGCTGCTCCCCTGCCGTCATGAGGCCCAGTGTGGGTGGGAAACTCCCATGCAGAAAGTGAGGGATGGACTGAGAAAGGGGAAAAGGAGGGAACCGCAGAGAAGAGGGAGGCAGAAGGAGGAGACAGCAAGATGGGCCGACAGCAAAGGGAGAGAGAAAGAGGAAGAAATGGAGGGGAAGGTGAACCCGGTAGATGAGGAGAGGAGATAGGACGAGGGGTCAGGGCAGTGCCCCTGTTTGAACTCCTCCCGGATGAATACACCTCTCCACCTCTCCCTTGCCCTTCCCAGGTCTCGCCCTCAGCTCTGGGGTCCCGTCAGGTCTGGGTCAGAGCCTGGACAGGTGACAGTTCCCATCACACTAGGGAGGCCTAGCCAGGCCCTTCCCACCAGCTCCTCAAACCTCACACTCTGTTCTAGGGCTTAAGGCCTGCAGCCTCCTCCCCTTCTCTTGCTTAATCCAGGAAAGGCTCAGTCCGTTCTCCTGTACCCTAGCTAGCCCTCTGGGTGCGCCAGTTCTTGCATCTTTCTCCTTTCACAGATAGAAGTTGGAAGAAGAGCACAGCCACCCAGGCCTGCCTTTGCTCTCATCTTCCCCTGGGAGACCATTCCTTCTTCGTCTGGTGGGTCCTGCTCCTTGGCTGAGAAGCTCTCCGCAGTCCCCATTTCCTGCACGGCCCAGCCCAGACGGGAGCCTGCAGCTCTCACTTCCGGGGGCTGCCTGGGCCCAGGGCTGCTGTGAGCAGATGTCTGACCCCAGCCTTGGCTGGAAATGATGGGCCCTCAGAAAGAAACTGCCCTGCCAAAGACTCACGCCCACTCTGAGAAGTGACCACTGCTACTGGGGTCTTCATCGGCCTGGGTTCCCACTCCCTGGCTTGGCGCTGACTCTTCCTCTGCATTCAGGCTGACTTCATGGCTTCCTCACCCCAGTTTGCTCCACAGCATCCTGTCTCCTGTTCTGACCCAAACTCTGTATCTGACTATTTCCTTCTTTGCTGGCCTCTCCCTTGCTCGTCACTGCTGCTCACTGCCCTCCTCGCCCTGGCATGACATCCCCTCCCTGGCCCTTTAGGGCAGAGGAATTAGAGCATCGAATGGGCATCTAGCAGTCATCAAAGGTGGCTCTCGGTGTGACCTGGCACTTAAAACCATTTCAGCCAAAGCCCAGGTTTTGAAACAGAGCAATCACAAAATCCACCAGGAAGACCGAGCTGGGAGAGTGGGGAGGGGCCTGGTTTACCAACTGTTGCCATTTGGAAATTGGGCGCCAGGAAGACAGGTGTGAAGCAGAGGAAGGCGGCCAGGCAGGTGGCGTCTCTGCCGTTGCGTTTGCAATCCCTGTGGAAGATGTTGATCTTGGACGGCTCAAAGTGGAGGCTGGCGTTGATCTGAACCACGGGGCGGGACCTGGAGAAGAAGGGTGAGTAGCTGGGGTGGGGTGGGCCACAGGCTGCCCTGCTGTGCCTCAGGGGGAAAGGTGGAGAGCCAGATGGGAATGGCATCTGCAAGACCACCACTGGGGGGTGGGGGAGGGGGGGAGCAAAGAAGGGCTCCAGATGTCAAAGGATTGGGTGAAAAAGGGCAGAGGTGCTGAGGGGTGGGCTCAGCAACCTCATCGCCCCTCAAAGGAGCCCTTCATCACTTTCCCAGGGGCCTCACTTGCTGCAGACCATACTGACTTCCTTTTGCCTCCTCATCACTTTTAGAGCAGTGGTTCCCAAGCCTGGATGTACATTAGAATAATCTGAACAGCTTCAAAAAAATCCTGATGCTCAAGTTGCATTCCAAGTCCAAGTAAGTCAGAACCGGCGTCCACATGTCTTAGAGCAGTGCTTCTCCGATTTTAATACGGTTGCACATCTCCTGGGGATCTGTTAAAATGCAGATCCTGATCCAACAGGTTGGCACAGATTCTGCATTTCTAGCTCTTGGGTGATGCTGATGCTGCTGGTCTGTGGACCACACTTTGAAGAGCAAGGTGTTCCAGCTGCCCAGGTGATTCTAATGTGCAGCCAACACAGCGAACCACTCACTGTCCGGGAGACTGCCTACCCGTCCACCCAGACTTCCTGGTCCAGGCAGCCAAAGAAATGCAAATTTACTCTTCTGTTGGTGGAAGTCAAACATAACTAGGGAAGGAGACACATTGCCTCTCCAAACCATGCATTTATGAGATGAAACAAGTGTAGTGTGTTTTAGGTGCTTCAGAGTATTAGCATGATCATTAACTTTCCTTAGTATCAGGGGGATGGATGGCGCCTCCTCTGAGCTGTGGAGGGAAAAGGGTGCATTTGAGTCTTGGCTTTGTCGGTCCTCATGGGACCTTGGGCAGGTCACCTGATCTCTCTGATGTGGATTGTGAGGATCAAAGCAGTGAGTGAGAAGGCCCTTTGACGGTGCAGAGTGCTGTGTAAACATAATAGCTTGCATCACTGGTTCTCAAACTTGTCTGCTCAATAGGAACGCCTGGGGAGTCTGTAAAAATTACTGCTGCCTGGGCCCCTGCCCCAGAAATTCTGCTTTAAGTGGTCTGGATAAAGCCGGGGCAATGAGAGGTAATCCTAATGGGCAGTCACGTTTCAGATCCATGGGGCTGGACCAGAAAATCTCCCCAGAAGGCTCCAGCCCACAATTTCATCACCACTCAGGTAGCACAGAGGTTTAGGCCTCAAAAGCTAGAGGTTGGCCCAATCCTTTCTGCGAGACTGATTCTCTTGGTGTGTGTGTGCGTGCTCTCCTGTGTATGTATCTTCTTTCCTGTAAAGGACTTAGTTTATGTGTCACCCTAAGGACCCACTAGGCGATGTCTACTCCCCACCCTGGATCTTGGTCACCAATCTTGCTTCCTTGCTGGAACCAACACAGCGAATACCTTTACCACCCAACCTGCTGTTGCTGCTGCCACCAGCACCAAAGACCTAAGAGCCCCGCACAGTGCAGAGCTTCAGAGAGGCCAGCGCACCCTGCAGTGGCTGGGCGGCCCTGCAGAGACCTTCCTCAGGGCAGCCAGAGGGGCAGGAGACACCACCTGGAGGTGTGGGGCAGCTGAAGCTTTGGCCATGGCAAACGGGGGGCATGAGAAGCCTGCGGATACACTGCTGCCCCTCCCACCCCTACGACGGGCTGCTGCAACAGCAGAGGCAGTGTCTGCCTTTCTGGAGATACTGTGAGCAAGGAGCTGCACTGACTGTGGGACCGCGGCTGGTTCAGCAAGCCTCCGCTCGGATCTGCTCTCCCTCCCTCTCCAGCCTCCTTCGGCCTTCACTTCTTCTTCTGGGGTTGAAGCTGGTGCCCAGAGCACTGATGCCTAAGCTTCAGCCTCAGACTCTGTTTTCTCGGGACCCTGGACTAAGACAGTTCCCTCTTGGATTCTAGTGTTCTTGAGAACCAAGAGCCTACCCTCTCCTTCTTTATCTCCCCAGGGAGCCGCACGATATCTCTGTTTAATGCCTTCTTTGAGTTGTATGAAAAATGTGATGGTGTTTATATAAAATTTTATGTGGGCGGAAAAAGGTTGGGAGGAAATATGCCAAAATGTTTTAATGTTAAGGTGATGAAACTCTGGGCAACTTGTTTCTTTATTTTCCAAATTTTCTTTAAGTTATCTTACTTATAATGAAAAATCTCATCAACATATATGAAAAAAACACAAATTAAAAATTTTTTTGGCTCAAAATGTAGCTAAGACATGATAGGGTAAAATGCATGGACTTTTAGAAAGCTTTGTTTTTTTAAGCTGTAGACTATTGCCAGAGAGAGACCCTGGATGCAGATATATGGCAAACATCTGTGGGGTGGTGCAGAAAGAAGGTCCTGAGAAAGGAAACAAGAAGTCAGAAAGGCTTTGGAGGACGGAAATCTCTGTTACATTAACTTTCTTTCACGCTAGGGGACAAGGGAGATCCTCCCAGCTGATAACAATCCCCTCAGCCTGACCCTGGAAGGAGCTTGAAAAGCTCAAGTGGAAGATATGCCCAAGTACCCGGAACTTTTAGGACAAATTCTAAGAAGGGCTTTTTGACATTAAATTGCTCTAAAATCCTAGAACTCCATTGAGAAGAGGGATTTGAACTTCAAAAATCATACAGCAATTCCATAAAAAGGAGATGGGATCAGAACAGGGTGAGTTTGGCCGACAGTGATGAAAGACAAGGGACAAAGATCCTGATACATATCTCTTAAACCCTGTAACCGTCATGACCCTCAGGAGAGCCCAAGAGTCAAGAAAAGGGGGAACCAACCACAAAATCACAGCATTGCCAAGGGCGCCCACCGCCAGGTCGACAAGCCCGTCCTCATTGAGGTCCAATTGCCCATGGACGCTGCAGCCAAAATACTGGAGGCCCGGAGCCAGCTCTGAGGCAGTGATTCTCTGCAGAGAGTGAAAAAGGAAAAGCTGGAGAGAGCCTATCAGAACCTTCAGGGAACTTCCCTAGCCCAAAGCTATGGCCTCTCCTGGTCTGTTAGGGCACCTGAAATTCTTACCACTAAGTCATCCTTTTGGATTAAGATCTTGTGTCTTAGGAGAGTTCCCCATTAGGTGTAAATGCAGATGACCTGCAGGTAACCCATCGGCATCGCTATCCATGGTATATTAGACTGTTTTACTACGAAAATATGGACGCAAAAACGATGACCCTGAGGGGATGGGACCTGGGTCACTTTTGGGGTGAGCAAGGTTTCCAGCATGAAGCATTTCCAGAGGAGAGCAAGCCCAAGCAGGAGTTCTCCATTTGCAGGCAACTGCACGAACACATATGGAGGGGCAGTGAGATTTGGGTCCCTGGGGTTTTGTTGTTGTTGGGGAGATAGAGTTAAGCAAGGAGAGGTTGCTCAAAGGGGTGATGGGAAGATCCTGAAGACAAATGCACCCGTTTCACAATTTCGACCTGAGGCACGTAGAGCTAGGACACACTGGAATCCTTTCCTGTATGAGGAGCAGAAGAAAATCCTGGACCGCAGGGCTGAGCATGAGCTGTTAGGACGTCCAGTCCTAGCTCCATCCATTTTCCAGGGGGAGCGTTACCTGCTTCGGCGTCTTTAGGATGCTGCCTCGGAAGCCGTGGAAGATGTAGATGGCTCCCCTGTGGTTGTCCTCCAGAGGGGCTCCCACCACCACGTCGTTGTAGGAATCCTGATTGAGGTCCTGAACCGAGGCGATGGAGGACCCGAATCGGGCATTCTGGTAACTCTGGGAATCCTTCAACGTTCCGTTATAAACAAACCGGTTCTGCAACACCAGGGGCGGGAACAGGCTGGGGGGACTTGGCAAGGGCCCTCAGGGTCACCATCCCCTCTGGCCTGTAGTGTCCTCTTTCCACCCCATTTTCCCCAGCCTCCCCTCTCTGTTACATAAGCCCAGCCACACAGGAGGTTCTTCTTCTTCCTGGCCTGGCTCAGCAGGTCAGTGGGCGCTGACCCCTCTCGTGACCCAGCTTCCCTCGTGAATACCGGGTGGAGGCCGGGTCAGGTGCCCTAGCAAGGGCGCCCAGCGCCACGCACCCGTACCTGTCTCAGGTTGTAGACGTACACCCTGCCCCGCTCTCGGCCCTCGCTGAAGTACATGGGCGCGCCGACCAGCAGGACGTCTGTCATGCCGTTGCCATCGATATCCACGGAGGTGATCTCGCTCCCGTAGTAAGAGCCTATCTGCGGCACGGGGATGGGGAGAGGGGAGTGGGCCGCGCTGCTGGGAGCCCTCGCCTCACTCCCAGGGATGGAGGGAAACTGAGGGCAGCCTCTGACTCAGAATTTTCGTGAACAAATGAGAAGGGTGGCTTCCTTCTCACCCCCACCAACAGAGTGGACTCACCTGTTTTCAGTTTATTCTAACTTATCCCTTCTGTTATCCATCCTGCCCACACACGTCTTTCTTTCCATTACTTAATTTTATTTGTTCTGTTTGTGATACATTATAATGGCAAAAAACAAGCATAAAAATGTATAAAGAAGTATGTCACCCATAGTCTAACATCCGACCATAGCTGCCACGAATGTTTTAGAGTATTTTCTTCATCTGTTTTCTCTAGGGTGTGGGGCTTGTTGTGTGTGTGTAGTTTTGTTTTCACAATCTGGGATAATACTATACATATAGCTTATTTACTGATTTTTTAATAAAACAATGGATCATGAACATTTTCTCCATGACGCGTTATATATATTTTTTACAAAACGATCATTGGTGATTCTATAATATTCCATTTTATGCATGTGCCAAATGTGTTTCTTCTATTGGTGGATGTTTAGCTCGTTTCAATTTTGAATGTTCCAAATCCCTGTGGGATTGGCACCTGGGACGGTGACCTAGGATTTCTTTTCAGTATTCGAGCATTCACTGTGTTCCTCTCCCACCTTGGGCACCATCCACCCACTCAGTCAGAAACCTGAGGCTCCTCTGGCCCAGGCCTCCACCTTGCCCACCTGAGGCCTCCCAGCAAGTCCTGCCTGGTGTATACCAGACATGTCCTGAATCCACCTACTTTCCTCTCTGCAGCTTATTCCTCGGGGGGGGGGCTCCTTCCAAAGGGGCCCCTGCCTCCAGGCCAGCCCCTCCAAGCCACCCCTATGGGCAGCCAGAGTGACCTCTAGCAGCTGACCATGCTGCTCCCTTGCCTTCTGGAAAAAGTCCACACTCTTCATTATGACCCTGCTGGACTGGCCTCCGTCCCTCCCTCATCTCTGGCTCCCACGTTCTGTCTCACACCCCCGCTTCTGACATCCCAGTGATGTTTCTCCTCCACAGGCCCCAGGCCCTGGCTGGGTTCCAGGCTTCCCTCTGCAAGTACTCTGGTCTGCACCGCTCCCCACCCCCAGATAATGTCCACCTGCCCTTCCCCACGCCACTCCCTGCAGGGGGTGTCCCTCCTGATGCCTCCCAAGCTGTGTACTCTTCCCACCAGCACCTGCTTCCTCCATGGGGTGCCTCATGAGAGTGGGCACTGTGCGTGTTGTGTTCTCTCCGGGCCTGGGTGTGTGCCTGGCACACAGGAGGGACTCAACAAATGTGCATTGGACCAGTGGGCCCCTTAGGAACGGGGAGGAGCCTTTCCGGCCACCAGGCCTGGTGGGATTCCTTTACAGCCCCAGGGCCACCTCCCGAGAGATCACCGCCCTCACTTCACAGGCAAGGAGCTGAAGCTCAGAGAACTTGAGCCACTGGCCCAAGGTCAGAAGGCTAGTCACACCCAAGCTGGGTTGGAACTCGGGTCCCGACACCCGAGCCCGTGATCCACCCACCCAGGCAGCCCTTGGCTGAGGACGCTTCCAGAAGAGATCTATCCTCAAGCATTAAAAGCTTTTAACTGAGGAGAAAGATAAAAATACAGAAGAGAGAAAGAGGAAATCACAAGCACAGGGTCGGGGAGGGAAGAGAGGTGCCTACATAAAGTAATTAAGAGGCAGACAGAGCAAATAAGGGAAGAGGGAGGGGATGTTTGTGTAAATCTGTGGCCTCAGCTATGTGTGTCACAGCGATTTGGAATCCACTTAATTTAGCTGCCTGCAGCACTGTGGTTTCTCATTCAGATGTTGGAGGCGGAACTGGGCAGTAAAAATGCGATAAATTCATCAGCAAATTCCCTCCAGCTCTCAAGGTCTAGCCTTGGATTCCTGGAAGAGCCTGCCGGGTGGAGTGTGGGTGGGCAGGATGGAGGCTGGGGGACAGAGCAGCACCCGGGTCCACCGGTGCCTTTGAGACAGGACGAGGAACGGTGCAATGATGGCTTCCTGCAGCTAGAGGGGTTTAGGTTAGACCTAGTGAGGAGCCCATCCTCATGGTGACAGGCCAAGGGCAGCAGAAGAGGCAGGAGACAGGGCTGTTCCCAGGCTCTGGAGAAGTGAGGGCAAGCTGGGAAGGACAGTACGGGCCTGCACAGGGCCCTGCTCAGGCCCAGGGTGCCATGGATGCTGGATGCTGCCAGGCAGGGGGTGCCGAGGCCTGGTTTGGGGGTTGCTGGGGCTTGCCAGGAGGTAGCATAATGCAGACAGCACCACCAAGAGTCCTGGATTCTGAGCTTGACCCAGCCATGCATCCACCATATAACCTTGGAAAAGCTACGCTGCTTCTCGGGACTCCAGTTTTCCTGGGCTATTGAAATGACTTGGATCAGAACCCTGTTTTTCCATCTTTTCACCACCAGTGACTTATCACAGTTTTCCAGTCTCCATTCATGACCCTCCAACACGAGACTCTTAGCAACAGAGTCTGGTTGCCCACCACATCCCGGGCGGGGCAGCGGCATCAGCAGCTGTACGGATCTGCACTGGTACCACTTCAGGAGAAGGAAAGAAGCTGGCGTCTTGGCGAACCCAGGGGGCCTCACTGTGGGTGGATGCACAGCTCCTCCCACTTCCAGCAGCAAGAGGGTGGCTTGAGGAACATGATTGCCCCTTCAGGAGGCCTGGGGGCCCTGGCAGCCCAGGCTGGGCAGCCAGAGCCCAGGTGCTCCCTCCAGCTCTTAACTCTAGCCCTGACCCAGAGAGAAGCTGGCGGTGACGGGCAGAGCCGGGCAAATGTGGCAGAGGCAAGAGGTCCATGAAACGCAGGCAGCACATTCTCCCAGGTTCTCCTTGCTGTAGCTGGGACCAGGGCCTGGCTTTCTGGGAACAGGACAGTCCAGCTCCAAGGCTGGTGTGAAGGAGGCATGTGCCCCACAACCAGGAAGGATGTTTGTGGTCTGGGGACAGCCCTACTAAGAGGGAAGAGACGAGCTTCAGAGAACCCTCTGGCCCAGCCTTCCCCTCTCTGTCCGGCTTCCTCAGCCCCCACCCCCGGCCCCCGCCTCCCTTACCTGTTCACCCCGCAGGGCCTGGTGGATGGTGAGACTCCGATTGTTGTGCATGGTGAACAAGATGGCTTTGCCCGTGTGGTTGAACCGTGGGGCTCCGGCCACGTACACCCGCCCCTGCCTGGAGGACACGACCGACGTGACTGTGTACCCTGCCACAGGAGGAAACAGGCTGGTCTCTGGCCTCGAGTCCTCAGCAGGCCTTGAGAGGGACTGGCACATGGCTCAGCTGAGCCCAAGGCTGGGCCGGTACAGGGAGTGTGTTCAGAGCAGGCCGAGCTTATTGGAAAATGCAGAGCCGTGATTCCCAGGCACAGCTGAGGAGGCCTGGGAGAGGAGGGCTCAGGAGAGGCCTGTGGAGGACGTGGAGCTCACTGCACCCCACCTGCTGCCGGAGGGAATGAAAGAAGCCAGTGGGACCACTAAAAGTCACTGCTGACCGGGAACGTACACATCCCCTCCTTCACATGATGGTGGAGTACAGGGAGCAGGGAGCAGGGCGAGCCCTAGCCACACTTCACTCAACCTTTGTTTTGATCCCCAGGAACTGTCTCTCTCAGGACCAACCAGCGCCCTCTTCATTCCCACAAACTCCTGCTAAGTGGTTCATGAAAACTAGCGTTGGCTGTGCAGGTGTAAGGAACTGCTCCACTCTACGCATCCCCGCGGAGGCTCAGGAATTCTTGCAGCCCCACAGCTTTGCAGACTCAAAGGAGGGAGCTCCTGGGCTCCGCTCAGTCCACGCATACACCATGCAAAAGAGGCAGAAATGGATGCCCACGGGCTCCTTCTGGAAAGGCCACCCGTCCGTGTTCTTGGCTGGCTTGGCCTGATCACAGTGAATCTGGAGCTGTGCATATGCAGCACCTTCGGGCGATTCTCCTGAAAGGGGGGCCCGGCAGATGTGCAAAGCTGAGACTCCCACTTTCTGCCAGATGATCTTGGATACTGGATCCCAGCTTTTAGATGGGTGTCCGGCCTTGTTGGCAGTTCCTCAGTTGTTTCTGGGGAATAGATGTCTCCTTCCACCATGCATGCATGTCTGTGCATGGGTGCCTGTGTGCGTGTGTGTGGGGAACACAGTAACTCGGGTCCCACTGGTTGCTTCCAGAGTAGCTGCAGGATGCGTGGACGAGCATCTGGCCAATTTGGTGGCCAGAAGCATGGGTGCAGTAGGCTGGGCTACTTGAGTTCCAGATACATCATTTTTGACTCTTGGAGGTGAATTCTGGGAAGTGGGGCTTGAAAGGTCAGTAAGGTCAGGATATCACATGTAGGTGGCTAACGTGGCCGTGTACTTAGCACAACCATAAACACATGAGGGGAGGGTGGGATAAGCCTTGAGGTGTGGAACAAAGAATTCTTCTGAGCTGAGCCCTGAATGGTGCTACTGACAGTGTTCTCCACTGACCCTGGACTTTCGGGCTTCCCCGGAAGGAGGGACCGTAGTGGTGGTGGGGGCTGAAGGCCTAACGTCCTGGGGGCCTGTGTGGGCTGACTCTCAAAGCTCCCAGCAGCACTGAGAACTTCCTGCTTCCCATAGTCTGTTGGTTGTGGGTTCAGTTCCCATGTGGCTCTTGGTCCAGCAAAAGCTGGACCAGCCTCCCCGAAGTCCTGCCAAGAGGTCCCGTGGCCAGAAGTCCATACAGCTTCCTCATCGTGGAGGCGGAGAGCCTGGCCTCCCAGCCTCCTTCCCCTAAACCATTCCTTTCCCTCGGGGCACGTAGGGGGGACTCTTCCAGAGATCCCAGACACTGCCCTCACTGGATGAGCCCCAGAGAGAGGAGGAGGAGAGAAGGCACTCCCTCAGGACCCCCACCCAAGGCACTGTCTGTGGTTAAGGGAAGACAGCCGGGCCTCCTGAGGGTCCTTCAGCCTGGCTCTACCCCACCAGCGTCTTCTGGGAGGAGGAGGACGGCTCTGCTGGGCTGGGGAAGGGAGGTGGCGTTCATCCTGCTGCCCCCTCCCTCAGATACCCTCACTATCTCCCTACTGCCAACAAGAAAATGCTCAACCCTCCTAACCTGGCTTTCGAGGCCTCCTGCTGCAGCCGGCCCTCCCCCGCCTTCCCCTTCCTGTCCCCCCTGCTCTCCTCCGCTCCAGCCACACCGTCTGCCTCCTGGGTCCTGAACTCGCCTAGCACTTCCCGCCCCGCCCTCTTTTGCTTGGACCTTTGTGGCTTATTCAAATCTTTTCCTGCTTTGGAGAGCTGGTGTAGGCCCAGCTCCTGCACCACGGGTGCCAGAGTGTGCCAGGCTGAGGCGCCACAACCACCCACAGCATGCCTCCCACTCGCTTGGGGCCCTGGGCCCTGATGTTATTTATCTGCCTGTCATTTAATGCTTCGTGAGACCTGCGTCGTACGCCCGCACTTGGTGTCCTCACTTTCGGCACTATGAGGAGCACGAGATACCACGACTGATTTGAAGTAAAGGGTGCAAGCCTTTGTTCTTCTGACATCTTTCCTAGTGTTTGAGCATTTGCCAAGGCAAGGCATCCACTCTCTCCCTCCTTTGTATTTATTTGGGCTCTGACCTCACTTGTGTACTGATTTTTCTCTCTCTCTAACTAGCTGGGAAGCAGCTTGAGGGCGGGGGCTGTGTCCTGGTTTCCACTGCACTCTGACAGCATCGACCACAGGTGCTCTGTACGCAGGCCCGGTCTAATATCAACAGAATTCAGTGGAACCCAGGCCCTAGGGCCAGGTACTGTTGAGGAACTTCTAGGGATCTAGAAGCTTCTAGATCCTCTAGATTTTCTGGCACAGTCCAGATTCTGGCATCCTGCCCTGTTGTTAGCTGAGGGTCCCAGGGTTGGGGATGGAAAATGGAGTAACCACAGTGTGGGTAGCATCACAGGCCGTGAGAGTAGCTGAGGGGCAAAGCGGGGATGGGAGGGAGCACTAGGGAGAGGATGGACGTGCGGACAGATACTGCCCACTCTGGATGGCCCAGGCCACAGCGGACTGGGGTCCAAGGAGGCATTAATGACGAGTGACTTCACAGACGGTAGACGTGGTTCTGAAATTCAGAAAGATCCAGAGCCAGTGGGAGCCCTGGACGTTCACTCCCTGCTGCCCTTGGCTCCGGCTCAGCCCTTTCCGAAAGGACCCAGCTGTGGTGGGTGGGCCTTGGTGTGGACGGCTGGGGCCCTGCTTTCTGGAGCTGGAGGGCACTGGGGTCAGCGGGTTAAGGGCTCAGTGCTGGGACGTCAGTGATTGGTGCTCCTCTTTGGAGAATGTCCGCTTCCAGAGTGCTAATGGGCAGTGACTTTGGCTTTGATGGTGAATAGTAAGGCATAAGCACGAGTGTGGGTTTCCCCTCGACCTGCATTTTGCCTTGGGAGGTAGGTTCAGAGCGCTGAAACCCTAGTCAGGGCAGAAAGCTTTAAAGACACGCCAATAGCTTGCCCAGCGTCTTAGAAGCATCGACCGAAACATGTTGGAGGTACAGGTGTGCTGCTTGTCATTTATTTACCTATTTACCGAGAGCCCGTTCCGGTTCCAGAGCTGTGGTGCTGGGCGTGGTGGATGGCAGGCTGAAGAGGCAGCGGCCCCTGCCCCAGGCTTGAATCGGCACAGAAGATGCACAGCCAGGCCCCTCGCCTCGTGTGTGGGTGGGCTCTGGGGCCCCCGGGGCCCCTCCCCACCCCCTGCCCATCAGGGCCCTCGGCTCTGGCTCTTACCCAGATAGGCTCCGTGGTTCTTGAGCTCCTCGGGGAACTCCTTCAGGTACGACTCGCGCAGAGGAATGACCTTCCCGGTACTGGTCTCCTTTAGCACAGCTCCGTTCCAGTCATAGGCGCCAACAGCTCCCAGCAGAATCCCGTCCTGTCATTGGGGAGGGGACACATGTCAGCTAGAGTTCCCGGGCGCCCCTCACCGGGAAGGCTGTACCGTGAAGTATCTGCCAGCCACCGCGGGCACCTTCTCCTGGGCTCATTATTTAGCAGCCTAACTTCCAGCCAGGATTCTCGGCTTTTGAATGAGCCGAGGACCTTCTTGCCCCATCCCATCTTTAGCACAAAATGGGTTAAGCTGATCCCAAGGATAGGACCTTAGGAAAAAAGAAATGTTCTAGAAACAAACTCCAAATCCAGGACCAAACCTCCATTCCTCTTTGGGCTTCAAAACCCCTCTAGGAAATCTCTTGTCACTATACCTCCCTTCTGAGACTCTCTTGAGCTGTGTCCCTGCCCTCCTTCCACATTCCCCAGCAGTGTCTGAGTTGCTTCTCTGTGTGTAAATCCTACATCTTCATTTCTTCAGTAAAAATTCAGTGAATGCCTACGTTGTGCCAGACACTTGCTTGGTGCTGAGAATATCATCCCTGACCTCGTGGAGCTCAAAAATACTCAATAGATATGCAAATAAACATAACAGTTGCAAACTGATAAATGTGATGAGGGAAAACCATAGTAAGGTTTAATTTAGATTGAGATGAGGGTCAGGAAAGGCCTTTTTGAGTAAGATAAGGGTCAAGAAAAGCTTACTCAGACACCTGAAAGCTGGGTAGGGTCAGAAAGTAGAAGAGCTGGTGTGACTTTGGGCAAATTTCTCTCTCTCTCTCTGTCAGGAGACAGCTTGTGCAAAAGGCCCTGAGGCTGGACAGAATTTAGAGCCTTTGGTTTCAAGGGACTGAAAGCTGTTTGATGGGGCTGGAGCATTGAGTAAGAGGGGGCAAAGTGGCTCAAGATGAGGCTGGACAGATAAGCCAGGGCCACATCCATGACAGCCAACCCCCAGAGGACAGGGGCTTGTCTTTAGTTGCAGGGTAAGCGGCTGCTGCAATGCTTGGGCAGGAAGACCGGAAGCTCTGGCTCTCTGAGGGGAAGTCTCCATGTTACTGACTCCAGGGCCATTTCCCAAGGACCGGGTCACTCACTCTCTGGGCTGTACCTGCACCTTGTCCCCCTCCACACCCCCAGACAATTCACATAACTAGTGGGCACAGGCGGACAAACAGTAAGCACCTAGAAGAGGAAGAGGAGTGACCAGGGACGATGCCGGGCCGAGGAGGGTGGTGAGAGCAGGGAGGGCCGCCTTCCTGGGTTACCTTGGGGGCTCCGGGCTGGGCTGGGGCAGACTGTTAAAGCATGGGCTGGTGAAGTCCCCTCTCTCCCACTGAGCATCCCTAAGCATGGCTGGTTGGTGGGATCTGAGATTCCCCTGCCATGTGGGGCCCAAGGCACTCAATCTCCCCTCACCCCCAAAACCACGGTGCCAGGAGAGAGCGTGACTGTGGCCTCAGGACCCTCAGAGCCGTCCCTAAACGCAGAGGCAGGGCCCCGGGCGCTAGTGTCACTCATGGCGGCGGAGGGCGAGATTATGGACCTGAACCTAAGCCTCCTTTGCTCACTTCCAAGGTGTCAATTTAAAGAGTAAAGCTGAGCTTATCAAAGGGTTAAAATTCTTTTTTTTTTTAAAGATTTTATTTTTTTTTTCCTTTTTCTCCCCAAAGCCCCCCGGTACATAGCTGTATATTCTTCGTTGTGGGTCCTTCTAGTTGTGGCATGTGGGACGCTGCCTCAGCGTGGCTCAATGAGCAGTGCCATGTCCGTGCCCAGGATTCGAACCAATGAAACACTGGGCCGCCTGCAGCGGAGCGCGCGAACTTAACCACTCGGCCACGGGGCCAGCCCCTTGATCTATATCAAAGGGTTAAAATTCTGATGTGCTAGAGGCAGAACTGACTGTTCAGACTGTGTCTTTATGACTATCAATGAGCTGGTCTTGGGAGAGTCTGATGTGCTTGGTTGTGTCTAATGCCGCACTTTCTAATCAGCTTTCTCCCTCCCACTGGGTGCGCGCCTCAGCCTGGAGAGCCTGACAATGCACCTGGGCCGGGATCGGAGCCAGGGCCTCAAAGACTCTGCCCACACAGTCACCGCCAACATTCCTCGCACTTGGGGTGTCCTCCATTCTTGGCAGACTTTCTCATCCAGTCACCCATTTGTGTGAGACCAGTAGGACAGATGTTCATTATCTGCGCTTGACAAATGAGAATCCGAGGTTCAGAGAGGGAAGGGGACCTGCTCAAGGTCACACAGCAAGTCAGAGGCAGGGCTGGGACTTTGATCAGGGAGATGGGTTGAGGAGAAGGGAAAATATCCATCTTCTGCCCAGAAGCTCCCGGATTCTGCTACAGATTTTCCATCTGAGCCCCGCTCTAGGAGTGCGACATTTGGGCTTTCCTCTCTCTCTCTTCATTTCCTCCCTCTCTCCGCCTGCTAAGTTCAAGTTTGCAACTGCAGACCAGGCTTCCTTGCTTCACAGAGAGGCCTTTGAAGATGAATTGTTGGCTTGCAGATGACCGGAAGCCTCTGTGAGGTACTGAGAAGAGCTGGCCCAGGCCAGGTGCCTGGGATCTAGCGGAGGGGGCACCGAGGCTGACTCACCGGATGTGGGGCTTGCGAATTCCACTCGGGCTTCTGGATTAGGCACAGTGGGCAGGTGATCACTCGTGGGTCTCACCTTATGCCACTGTGTCCTGCCAGCGGCTGCAGGCTTGGGCTTCTAGTGGGAGGCCCTTTCCTGAGAGAGGCCTGTGGGGGCCAGGGAGAGCCCCACTGAGGATGGGGTGCACTGCGAGGAGTGGGCTCACTGAGGGCACTAGCCGGCTTTTCCCTTCTTGGGGAGCCAGACGTTTTGAGTTTGGAGAAAATCTGGAAGGGGCAGGGCCATAAAAAGGGCCAAAGCCTGGACAGAAGGAGCCAGGCATGCAGGCCAGCTGGAGACAAGCAGCAGGGCATTCCGGGGAAGAGCCGCATGCACCACTCCAGACCTTGTCCTGGCTCCCTGACTTATGCCCCCTTTCCTACGGGGCCCCCCAGGCTCCTGCTGGATATTACCAGGGTGTGCCTGGGTGGCCTCACACAGACGGACCCTTGTGCAAGCTGACTTTCCTAGTGCTCTGTGCAGAAATGAGGATGCAGACTTGGCTGTCCTCAGAAGGTCCAAGGCGAAGTCCCTGCCTTCCCGGAGGACGACCTGTACCCGTCCTCACCAGTGTTGTGCCCACCATCAGATCCTGCCAGCTAAGGTCCCAGCTGCCCTCTGACCTGGCTTCTGGAGCAGTCTTGCCTTTCCAGCACAGCCGAATGCTCCCTGGGCTTGTGGCCACACCCCCCCGAACTCTGTGTTCCCACCAGTCTGTGTCCCCGGCACGGGAAGCAGCAGAGTCTAGGGCCATGGTTCTCAACGGGGGGCGCTTCAGCCCCCCGGGCCATATTTGGCAATGCCTCGAAACAGTTCTGGTTGTCACAGCTGGGGCTGGTGTTGAGGTTGCTGTGCCACCTGGCGGGTAGAACTCAGGGATGCTGCTGAACACCTGCAGCGCACAGGACAGCCCCCCAGCGAAGAATCCTCCAGCCCGGAGTGTCACTAGGGCTGAGCGTGAGAGGCCCTGGCCTGCCGGTCAGAGCAGGAATCTGGACTCAGGCATTCCTGAGTTCCAGTCCCACCTCCAGAGCTTCCAGCTGTGTGACCTTGGGCAAGTTTCTCTCCCTCTCACTGAGAGGTTCTTCAGATGTAAATAGTTGTGTCGTGAGAATTAGCCTTTTTAATTCTTAGCGTGCTGCTTGGCAGCCAATAAGGACTGGGTACACAGTAGCTTCTCTCATTCATTAATTCATCCATAAAGCACTTCCGGGGAGGCGGGCATCAAAGAAGAGCGAGAGCTCCAGATGAGTCAATGCGGCAGCCCGTGAGAAGTGCTCTGATGGAGGACAGGACACTCTATTCTGGGGACCCAGTGGACGGGCTGACCAACTGAGGGGCGGGGTGGGTGCAGAGTGGAATTAGGAAAGGATTTTAAAAAAACTTTACTTGGTTTGTAGTAAGTCTCAAAATGAACACTTCCAGTTCCAAGCCTCAAGATTCAATTCCAGAAATATTTTCCAGACATCTGCTCAAAGACTGAGGTTCAGAGAGGTGAAATGATTTGTCTGAGGCCACACAGCCAGGCAGTGCTTTCCCCTTGCCCAGCTGTAACGGCATTAGAATACCAGATGCCAGCAATTGCTCTTGGCATTGGGGAGGCCGGAGTGTGGAGGCAGGTGGAGGTGGCCGCTGGTGGTCCTGCGTGCTGGCGCGCACGGAGACCACGGAGACGGCACTGAGTCCGTCTCCACCCCTAGGCTCCCCCATGGCTCCCTAGTGTTGCATGTCCATCTTCAGAGAGACCGTAGCGGGGCAAGACCCTGTCCCCAAGAGCCCCTTCTAAGGCAAACACATCATGAAGAGGGTGGAGTATGCTTTAACTAGTTGCTCCATTCTGTCATTAGAAGACTTGTTTTCAATAAGCTCAAAGTGGAGCCTAAGAAGGGATGAGAGCCGTGAGGTGTAGACGTGCTTGGGCAGGAAAGACCGGAAACGGGCCCTCAACCTTTCCGTGGAGAGGAGACCCTCCCCTTGCGCACTGCTGGAAGCTGGTGGCTGGGTGGCGTGGAGGGGGCCTAGGGGGCATGGGGCACACTGGACTTGACTGCTCATTCCAGATCAGAGGCTTGGGTGTCTCTCCTCAGAGGTCCTGGGAATGAGGCCCAGGAGTGCGGCACTGGGCACGAGGATACAGCGGGAGGACATGGCCTTGGGCTTGGGAGGACCCCAATGAAACAGAAATGAATCCTGCCACCGGGCATCAACTTGCAGACAATCAGAACAGCATGCCAGAAGTCCCTGGCTAGCACGTCCTGGCCCCATGGGGTGGGGCCGTGGACAGCCCTGACTGCCTGAGTCCACTATGGGGGCTCAGAGGGGCTTACAGCCTCTAGGTAGCAGCTCCTTATTTCTCCATTATGGATTAGTTTCTTTCATTTTTGATTGAATCAAATATGCAAAAGTAGTTCAAATGCAAAACTCTTAGGAAAGATTACAGCTTTAAGCCTTCAACAGCTGGGAACCTTAGATAACAGCTGATAACCTTAGCTATGCAGTCCACAACCCCAGTGGGCCTGCGGGAAGGGCACGGGCTGACAGGCAGGGGTAGGGCACGCAGCTGGGCTGGAAATAGGGGGCTTCCCTACCTTGGCCTGTTTCAAATGCAGCTGAGGGCTGGTCCCGCCAGATCATCATGCGCAGGTTAAAGGAAAAATGATTTCCCATCTTGGGTGAGTCACCAAGGATTTTATATAGATGAGATTCACCCTAATAAAACTGCTTCCTTCTATGAACTTTTGGTGTTGGGGAGATTTATGGACGGCAGTGTAGGAGGTCCAGGAGAATTCCTGTGCCGAGCAGTCCCATAGGAGGAGCTCCCCAGCAGCTCCATCCGGCACCAGCGGGCATCAAGCATCAATTATTTATAGTCCTCTTCCTTCTTCCACACCTTCCGCTCGTGGCCCATGGGGATTATAGACTCTTAGCGTCTACCCCCTTTGGAAGGTATGGGTTCCTTCTGCAAGCTTTCTGGCAGATTCACGCAGCTTCTTCTTGATTACCCAGCCAACAGGGAGTTTAGCACCTCAGCAGGCAGCCAGCACTCGTAGAAGCCACTCCAGCTATTAGTGACCTTTGCATCCATTTCCAAATGCTAATGGAACCATTGGCTTAAAAATCCATTCTAGAATTTGACCAGGGATCAAATAGCTGGTCTTCCTGATGGTAATTCCCAGAATGTTCTTTCCCTTTTTTGCAAGTCAAGACTAGAGTTCCCTGGGGTGGCTTCAGCTCCCTGGGTTCCCCAATGGCTCAGATCTTTGGTCATCAGCCTGAGATGCACTTCCTGTGGCCTGAGGCTTTGGGCTCTTTGAGTAGCTAGGTGATGTCTTGGGGTCTCCTCCACTACCCTGGGCTCTGGTCCCTCCTTCCTCTTGTTGCTTTTATCCTCCCTAACTGAAAGGCTAGTTTCCTTGCTAGAGAGATGGCAGCAGACCAGGTGATGAGCCGCTGGGTCTTTCCTCTGCCATTTGAGAACATTCTACTGGGTCCCTCCCCTAGGACCAGAGACCTTTCCTTCTGACATAACTCAACAGGCCCAGGGCTCCTGATGGCTCCTGCAGCATATTTGCAGGAAGCAGCGGCCTGAGGCCGTCTGTGGAGCCTCCTGTGGAGTCCCCCAGGAGATGGACTCACTGGGCTCAGGACCTGCTCTGGCAAAGCTGAAAGGCTGGACCCATGGGCCCCAACCCCCAGAGAGGTCTGACTGACCCTAAGGGCCGTGGAGCTGGACTCCCAGGGACAGGATGGCTGTGGCCAATTATGATGGCATCAGTGGCTGGCGTTGAAAACCTTCCGTGCTCTAAAATAGCAACCCGATGGCCCGTCCCAGCGCCAGACAGCCCACCATCATTGCCCCATTCCTTTGGATTTGGAAAGTTTTTTGTTTTTGTTTTCTTAAGTATTAAAGAGTCTCGGATTCAAACATCATCATCTCTTTAAAAATCCTATCAGATGAAAACTTCCAGATGCCTTTCACTTGAAAACAAGACTTGGGGGTGTTAGAAGAACTGGGGTCTGTATCTGCAGGATAGGGAGGGGCACGTGGGTCTCTCTAATTAGGCAAATGAAAAAGAGCTGGGCATATTGGAAGGCACTGCATAGGGCAGAGCATGACCTTGACCTAAATAACAAGCAGGGGCTCTCAGCTCCCGGTCTCCCCTCACAGTTGAGGCACCTGTTGATCCTGCACGGATTCATCTTGCTCAACACACTGAGCTGCTTGGGCCATTTTCAGAGTTCAGCTCAAATTTCCCTGAATCCCTGCAGCTTATCTTGACCTCCCCGTGCCCTCAGGTTCCCCGATTCCTGGGCACACACACATCACAGTGTTAGAAGCAGGAGAGTGAGCTTATCATTTAAGAGTCTTTCTCCCTAACTAGACCATGAGCTGCTGTCAGCGGAAACCTTGATCTCTATCTATTTATATATCCCTAGTGCCCAGTACAGAGCCTGACACACAAGGAGATGCTCAAAAAATGATTGTGGGATGAACGAAGGAGAGATTGGGACATTCATTCTCTCTCACTGTCCCCAACATCAGCGCTGGCCCCCCATGTGTGCTCAGATTTCCCCCAGTGTTGTGCACACCACTTCTTCTGTTGTCCTGCCTGCTGCCACCCGTGGCTGCAGAAATCCTTGTCCTCAGGGGCCTGCCTAAGTGCCAGCCCCTCCCCTGCCTGCCCCCTCCCCTAGGCTGGGCCTTGCCTTCTCTAGGACCCTAAGCACACGCTACTTTGATTAGCATTAGATGTGTGCATGTGGTTCCCCCACTGAGCACGGGGTCTTCCCAGGGGCTCCATGGATGGGGGGGGGCCTCCTGAAGTTATACCCTCTTCTTACCTACGAGAAGTCTACCATTTCTTTCATCCTACCCCCAAAGCTGAGGACCACTGTGCCAGATTGTCTGCAAATTGACTCCTGGTGGCAAGAATAATTTCTGGTCACATTGGTCTGGAATAACCTTGGTTGCATTTGACAATTGCTTGTTGGATTTAATTAAATTGAGTTTCCTGTTGCATTTTCTAATCAGCCCTGACCCCAGAGTCAGGAGATGGGGCCAGTGCATGACTTTCTTCCTTATGTCGTGTGAATGGATGCCCTCGTCTCTCCTCGTGCCCGGCTCCTTACCCTCAGACTGCGAGCTCCTTGAGGGCAGGCCTCCTGCCTCTCCTGGGATCCAGCACAGAGAAGGCACTGAAAACATTTGCTGGTCTGACCACCTAAAACAGGACAACGATTACCGCCTGCCAACCTTGCAGGGCTGAGCACGAAATAAGGGGCAGGAATCTCCTGGAAAAATTTAAAGTGCTCTGCGCGTGTGACACGACTGTTACTATTGTAGGGCAGTTACATTTCTATCTCGCTGCATTCAAGTGGGCATGAGATGGTCCAGATGCAGCCGAGGAAAAGCTGAGCATGAGTCACGTTTCCGTCCATCTGCCTGCTGCATGTCGTGCCTGTCTCCCCTCCCTGCCAGTTGGGGATTTCTGACTCAGACCCCTTACATTCCACACTCTCTCATGGAGCAGCTGTTTAATGTGTAGGGGACAGCAGGAGACTAATATTTCTCTCACAAATGTCACTTCTGCAGATCACTCAACCTTTCCCTGACTCAGTTTCTTTATCTGGAAACTGGGAACAAGGAATCCTGCCCTAACCACCTCACAGGGCAGCTGGGAGAATTCAGTGGGATAATGAAGGTGATGTATAAGTAGGATGGTCTAAAAGGCCTTTTCTGGAAAATTAGGAGGCAGAAGTACTCCCCCACAGTGCCAGCCCAGGCAGAACACCTAGGACACCTAGGACACCTGTCTATCTAAAGCATGCCCACGGGGCATGTGCTGACACCGGCACAGATGGGCTTTCCCCACGTGGGATTCCCGGCAGGGCTTTCCCTCCCAAACAGTTTATAAGGCTCTGCCCCTCCTGCGGTCCTGTGAGCATTCAGTCCCATCTTGTGAATCAGAACCAGGTGAAGTGCAGGGTGAGTGGCAGCCTGAGGCTCTGGGCCCATGCCGCAGAGCCCCAGACACAACATGCTGCTGTGACGCCATGTGCCACCTTGGCCCTCTGCAATGTGAAGCCGAGTCCGCACAGGGAGGGAGCCCAGGAGGGCCATCTGCCGGAGCACATCTGCAACATCTGGACACCCTCCCAACGTCGACAACACGCCGCCCCCCTGCACACACAGGCTGCCCCAGGCACGCATGGGTGCTAGTGGAGTGCGTGCAATTGGTTTGCCTCAGGCTCTGTGCCTGAAAGGGCCCCTGGGGGGAAACGCTCCATCAGCACCCTGCACAGAGAGGTCGCCAGGGGGGTATGTGGGCTTATTATCTGTAGCCCATGCTCTGCTCAAAAGCGCCCGAGACAACTTATTCTAAGTTGAAGGCCTTGACTTCCCTCCTCCAGCCATAGAAGATGGGAGGCAGAGAGACCTCAAGCAAGAGAGAAGGGGGAGGAGAGGGCCCGGTAAGGCGGGATGACAAGGCAGAGGCTGGCAAGAGTGAGCACGTGGGAGGCAGCTCTCCACCCGCGTACCTCTACCACGTGCGAGGAAAAGCCGGTCTGCGACATCTCCAGCCCGAAGGAGGTTTCGTTCTTGTTGGTGCCTAAAACAGAGGGACAGAAGGATGTCAGCTCCGCGCCTGACTGCTGAGCGCCAGACACGCTGCAACTCAATCCCAGCACCTGTGTCCCAGGGGCCCCTTCAGGGAGGTGACAGGGGCCCAAGTCTGGGTCCAGCCTCGTCTGCCCTCGTGGCTGGTGCCCTACACCAGGAGGAGCCAGGTGGCCGTGCGGGTTTATCATTAGTAGGCCGCTCATGGCTGAAAAGGGCTGGGGACAGCTTCTGTTACAGGGCGGGTATCCTGTACAATAAGACTGTCAAATAGGGGAAAGACCAGGAAAGGTGCGTGGAAAGAAGTAGTCTACATTTTTGGCAAGAACTGGAACTTCCCACTTTGTTCATTCCTATTCTTCACCAGATCTTGTTCCAGATGCCTCTGGAGGGTCTCAAACATCAAACTGGCCCTCAGGAGGGGGACTTGTCACCACCACCGATTTGCACGAGAAATCCCACGTGTGCTGAAGGCCCCCCCACAGAGGGCCTCTCCGAGCACATCACTGGAACCAAGGTTCTCGTCACCCAAGGCGACTGTTTTGAGGAGAAATACAGTGATTTGGATATTTAAGTTCTACTGTGAGTGTCAAAACTCAGGTTCATACTTTCTATTCCTTTAGCCTGGTTTATGAGGGTGTTTTTGTCTCTTTTTCTGTGTCTGTAGCTTGTCATTCTGATGTGCTGCAGACTGCTCAGGCTTTGGACACCGCCTCTGTCTCTTTCCACAGTCCTCCCACGTGGCAAAGCCCAGGAGGGGAAGGGCCCGCTAGAGCAACACGTGATGCCAGTGAGGTGTGTGCAGCTCAGAGCTGGAGATTAAACCGCAAGGAGAGGGGCCACCCGACGGGGCCCTGCAGAAGGTGCTTCTGGATGGGAGGCAGTGGGGCTGAGGGGTCAAGTGTTTCTGGCTAAGGAGTCAGGCTCAGCCGGGTGCAAACTAGAGCTGCCAGATAAAACACAGGACGCTCAGTAAATGTGAATGTCAGACAAACAACAAATAATTTTTTAGTATAAGTTTGCCACAAACATTGTATTTTATATTTGCTAAATCTGGCAGCCCTCATTCAAACCCCAGCTCCTTCCCAAGCTGTGGGAGCTTAGGCAAGGCACTCAGCCCCTTCGGCTTCAGTTTTCTCAATGGTAAAGAGGAGACTATCAGCAAAACCACCTTCCGGGGCTGTTCAGAAAGTGCGCAGGCTGGCGGCCAGCACGGTGACACGCAGGGGTCGGCACTGATGGTGAGGGAGGACCCTGTGAACCCAGTCCCCTCTGTGGGGCTGGATTTCGCTCCCTGGGCTTCATCTGATGGGAGCCCAGGAGCATGGACCTCTCTCGGGATGGATCACGCACCTTCCAAGCTGAAGATCCGGTCCCCCAGGGCATCGACAATGTCCTTCAGGGCCGCCTCGTCGGTGACGTTGAAGAAGTGCTTGTCATCTGGGTCACTGGCGATGTATTTGATTTCATTTAGGAAAGTTTCTGGATTGATCCCCCTGCGGTTGTAGTAGCCCAGGACCTGCCAGGGAACAGGGGGCAGGGGCGACAAACCAGGACATGGCACAGACCTCCATGCACGCCCATGACCCCTGACCCTGGGGACCCAGGGCCAGCTGGAGCCACTACTCTGGTAGTCATGAGCATAAGCCAAAGTGCCATTTGCATTTTGAAAAAGTCTCTTGTAAGGGCCAGACACAGGCCCTGTTCTGAGATGGGGTTCTGGAGGTGGGAGGCGCGTGGGGGTGTTTTCTAGTTTTCTGAGGTTGCAGAACCTCCCTGGCAATGGAGACAAAAAAACCCCACAACTGTTGTGGATAGGCCCGGGTAGTGCAGAAAGAAGATGTTTGACTTGCTCTTTAGCAGAGGATGAAAAAAGGAGAGGCCCCTTTGAGGGCCTGGGTAGTTGCTCATTCCCCAGAAACCCCAGGGGTTTGATGGCAAAGCCTCTAGAAGGCAGCCGGCAGCCCTTGGGCAGAAGCAGGGGGCAGGACGGGCGGACTCACGGCCACAGCGTATCTGGTCACGTTGTCCCTCTCGCTTTGCTGGATCACCTTCTCCAGGTCCGGGCTGTCGTGGGACTCCCCATCTGTGATGACAATCATTACCTTCTTGGCCCCTTTCCTTCCGCCCTTCTGGAAAGCCTCTGAGCTGGAACCCGAGCACAAGGGAAGGATCACAAGCAGGAGATGGCTGTGGGGCAGCCCCCGGCGCTTCTCCGGAGGGGCAGCCACAGAAGCCAGGGTCGAGTCCCCCGGGGAACCCAACAGGAGCAGAGACCTCAAACCAAAGCAGCAGCTGCGTGGAGATGCGCAGACTCTCATTCGCCAGCTGCTCAGATGGGTCTTATGTCTGTTTGTCTTTAAACAGTGACTTTAAAAAGCCCCTCTAGGGTCCTCTCCTTGCTGTTTGGGGCAAGTGGAGGGGACAGGGTAGAGCGGGGAGGGTTCAGGGTCAGATGGAGATCTTTAGAAGACCTAAGTCATCAGTTCAAACACCCAGCTGCACAGGAGAATCTCTTGGGGAGTTAAAAAAAAAATGATGTCCAGGCCCCACCTGGACTCACGAAATCAGAATCTCAGGGGTGTGGCCGGGGCATCAGTATTTTTCAAAAGTTCTAACGAACATCAGAGTTGGGAACCACTTCCCCAAGTACTGAAAAGTTGATGTGCCAGAGTAATTCAAACCACACTAATCCATAAAACGCAGGGGGTGAAGCCTGACAAAGTTCTGATTTTTCCCACGAGGACTGCTTTCGTTTTATTTTGGGAACTATTAAATATCAAATTCTGTGACAAATATTCCTCTTTCTTGCTTTTTGTTTCCAGTGCCCAGAGCAGGGGCTTGGCCTGCCTGTTGTACAATCCAGCCAGGGGACCAGAGGCTGGCACGCTGGCCCTTGACGCTGTGGAGAGGCTCGTGCAGCTGGCAACCTATGAAGCGTGCAAAACTGCTCTCGAGCCATCCTTGGCTCTTGGTGCCTCTGCGGCCAACACTCCCTTAGACTGTGAGGTTCTAAGAAGGACAGACATGATATGGCCCAAGAGTCTGGCCCAGCAGGTAGAATTTCTCATAAGGATCTAAAAATAAATGTTACCCTTAAACCCTGCAGCGATTTCTCCCGGGTCTGACCCACAGATCTAACTCTCCAGTGCCAAGTTAAAGCCCGTTTCCGGGCCCCAAGGCGTGGGGAACCAAGGTGTCTCAGCTGATGAGCTCATGGGCATGACTTAGATGTTGAGGAATTCACAAAACTTGGAATATGCTAGTTCAGGGCATCTTCGAGCTACCACCTAGGAGAAACAGACCAGCTGCCACTCTCTCAGCAGTTCTGTGCTATATCGGATATGTTGACTTTAAAAAACTCTCTACTTTCAGTACGAACTGTGGGTTGAAGCAGGGCAAAGGCACACTTGACACGACTAGATCAGATTTTGGGCTGAAGCCGGACCTGTGGAGGGAGAACTCAGCTAGTCCCTCAGAGGAGATTCCAGATGCTTCCATGACCTCATTGGAGGGCCAAGGAACAAAACTCCATGCAAAAAATATGGCAGAGAAAAAATAGGTTTTATTATATATGGAGCCAGGAAAAATTTCAGGATCATATTTCCAAATAGTGGAATAGTGTGAATATCTGCACGAATCTGCAGCGGGGTAAACACTGGCATGAATCATTAGATTTGAAGTCTGATTTCGTATTGCGTGAAAGACTTGGATGTGTTCCTACGTAAACAGATTGTAAGTTCCTTGAGAGCAGTGAGAGCGTTAAACTCACAGCAGCTTCTGTGAACGTGGAAGCCAGAGTGATCTTGTGAGAAGTTAGGTCACATCATGGCTTCTTGCTGCTCAAAACCTGCACTGGCTCCCATTTCTCTCGGGTCCTGACAATGGCCCACCAGACCCTTTGTGACGTGGCCCCGTTATCCCTCTGCGCCCCTCCTCCTGCTCACTCCCCTCCACGCACACCAAACTTCTCCGGATTCCTCACTGATCCTGGAACCACCAGGCACGCTCCTGTCTTAGGGCCTTCATATGAGCTGTGCCCCTCCCTGGAAGGCAGGACCTGCTTGGCCAAATTCCTCACCTCCTTCAACACTCCACTCAAACGCAAGCTCTCGGTGCAAACTTCCCTGACCACTCTAATACTGAGGAAATACCTGTCCTCTTCAATCCACTTGAGTGCCTTTACTATGCTCAATTTTTACCCCATAGCTTTTTTTTTTTTTTTTTTTTTTTGCTGAGGAGGAGTTGCCCTGAGCTAACATCTGTGCCAATCTCCCTCTATTTTGCATGTGGAACACCACCTCAGCATGGTTTGATGAGTGGTGTGTAGAACCATGCCAAGGATCCAAACCTGAAAACCCTGGGCCACTGAAGTGGAATGCGTGAACTTAACCACTACGCCACCGGGCTGGCTCCCGCCATAGTTTTTTTATCTCCTTCTAGCATCTATGTTGTTTATTTGTTTATTGTCTGCCTCACCCTCTAGGTTGTCAGCCCTTGAGGGCAGGACATTTATCTGTTTTGTTCATGTGTGAGGCACGTAGTAGGTGCTCAATAAAAAGTGTTGAGTAAACTAAGATGAATCACACCATTGTCCCTGCACCCCCCAACCCCCCAAGCCATACATGGCTTCATGTGCACATCTCGTGATAACACTCTCATCCCCAAGAACCTTCAGTGGCCACTCACGCTTGTCTTAGCTACAACATTATCAGCCTCATAGTCTGGATCCAAGCCATCTTTGCAGTTGCCTGGCTCACTAACCCCAACACGAACCCCAGGCCACGGCCAGAGCATGAATGTAAATGTCCCTCGACGTCCCCCTTCCTTGGCCCTTACCAGGGCAGAAGGTCTTCTGTGAATGTCTTCTCTCTGCCTCTCCCTGCTGGACTCCTGGGGTCTTCACAGGACAGGTCAAATGCCACCCTGTCTTGGCAGTCCTCCCCGGCCCCTCCCTTGGAGCCTTCTCTCTCTCGTCCTTACTGAATTAGGCTGATGCTTATCAGAGCTCCCCTATGGGGTGGGGGCACAGGTTACTGTCTTTGTAACCCGTCAAATCCATGGCCTGGATCTTTGTTACTTTAGTAGGTGCACAGAAAAAAAAGCATTACGAATAGCTTAGTGAGGGGAGAAAAGCTTTCACCTTAAAGGGCACCGGTTGTAATTTGGGACCCAAGCGTGGCAGGCCGGGAAGAGAGGTTTCAACTTCACTTGAGGTGCAGATGCACACCCCAGTGGTGCCTGTGAGGCCCGGATGTTCACACTGCCTGGGGAGTCACACACTTGTAACTGACCTGGGGTGGGTGGGCTGCGGAACGAGCCCTGCTGAGTCAGTTGGCTCCCCACTGAGGAAGTGATAGCTCAGTGGGCACCGGGGCTTCCCGCTGTTGCCCAGCCATTTCACGAGGGCCTGCCAGGGGGCTCTGGGGGCTCAGGGGCTCATCCCAATGAAGGAGGAAGGCTCATTTAGGAAAAAGGCATGAGGAGGTTTTATCAGCAACCAGAATAGGTTAGTGGAGCAGTAACTTAGAAAGAGCTGTGAGATGGGAAAAAACAATCTTTTCACCACATAAAGTCATGTTACTACTAAATCGCTCTTACACTGTGGAATCCTGTTAAACACATTGACTAACCCCGTGTGAGGTGGGATTATAAGGTAATGGGACTGCGGTCTCAATGAACACGGCGGAACTCACATTCACAGGCATAAAATTTATACATCTAAAATCTAAATGCCCTGGATGTAGCCATCACAGGAGTTCAGGCCTCAGCAAAAAAGTGCTCACTGAGGGGCTGGCCCCGTGGCAGAGTGGTTAAGTTTGCATGCTCTGCTTTGGTGGCCCGGGGTTCACTGGTTCAGATCCTGGGTGCAGACCTACACACCACTCATCAAGCCATGCTGCGGAGGCGTCCCACATAGGAGAGCTAGAATAACTTACAACTAGGATATACAACCATGCACTGGGGCTTTGGGGAGAAAAAATAAAAAAATAAAATCACTCACTGATTTCAGAGGGGATGAACACAGCATTCTGAGCAGTGGCCACATTACTGGAATAAGCACGTAGCTGTCTGTGTGGACAACGACTAGAGACAGCATTCACTGTCATCATGAGTGAGTTCTGGGGTGACTTTTAAGGAACCAGCCTCATTACTCTATGATCTCAGAGATTAGATTTAACTGTGTTCTTCACACTTCATTGATGACAACTCTCCACAGGAAGATTCTGCCATCAAAGAACCTACACTTTTTATAGGGTCTCTGTGGCAGGATGTATTTTCCGAAGTTGGCTGTAATGATATCTCCCATCCCAAATGCTCTTCCGCAATGTGACATTGCCGTTCCTCCATCTAGAGGCAGAATCAGATTCTCTTCCCCTTGAATCTGGGCTGGCCATAGTGACTTGTTCGATCAATACAATATGGTAGAAGTTTTTTCGGGGACTTTTGGGGCTAGGTCATAGGCAGTCTTAGAGTTCCCGCGTGGGTCCCTTGGAAAGCTCGCTCTCAGAGTCCAGCTGCCATGACGTGAGAAAACCAAGCCACATGGCCATGTGTGGTCAGCCCCAGCTGAGCTGTCAGTCAACAACCAGCATCAACTGCTGGGCACATGAGTGTGTCATTTTGGATGTCCAGTCCAGTCAGATCCTCAGATGACAACAGCCCCAGCCGACACCAGATTTCAGCCACATGAGAGAACCCAAGAGAGAACTGACCAGCTGAGCCCAACCAATTCCCAGAACTTTCAGGCATTAGTAAATTATTGTCTCAAGGTACTAAATTTGGTGGGGGTTTGTTACACGGCAATATATATCTAGAACGGTATCAGATTTAGAAAATTTAATTTTTTCTTTACCGAGCAAATTCGATGCCGAATGCTGTGCGGGTCTCTGTTCCTCCTCTCTGCTCAATGTGACTGGCCGCTTCCACTACATCTTTTACGGACCTGTAGTCATTGAGGTGAAATTCATGTACCACGTCTTCTCCGTACTGAACAACTCCAACCTGCAAGTTAGAGGAGAAGGCGACAGAACATCTCGACCCCCGACACTGAGACCTGCGGTGGCCAGGCTCCCTGAGGCATCACTGTCTGGGACAGTTCAGGAGCGAGGAGGGCTCAGGACCTCCCGAGGGAGAGCAGCTAGGCTGAGGGCAGCAGGTTCTGAAAGCTCTGGGAACAACGGACGGCTTGGTGAGACGCGTGGGAGGCACTTATCAAGACAGGAGACTGTGATTTAAAGAAAGGCCCAAGAGATTATGTTTGTTACTTAAAAAGACAAAAGCTGAGCATAGAATTGAAGTCTAAAATATTAGGAATGGCTTGGGGGAGGGGCATGACATTGTTCACCAAACTCTGGAACTGAGGTTCCTTAAAACTTGGAAGAGAAGAGGTTCTTTTATCCCCAAGGCTGATAAAATATAGACAATATTAATAGCCTTGAAAGAAACAAAAAACCTTAAAGACCTACAGCAGAACTAGAATGACAAAATGCGACTGTTGGATGGGCCCGCAGAGGTTATTTGGTGCCTTTGTAATGCTGGACTTTCACCCACAATACCTTAAAAGGTGGTCTTCCAAGGTTGGGGAGGTCCACCGCTTCAGGAAAGCCCACTCCCTTTTTACCAGCCCTGATTGTTACAAAATAACTGCTTAGATTGACTTAAAATCTGCCACCTTGTAACTTCTAATCATTGGTCCTCATTTGGCCTGCCAAAACAACAGGGAATAAATCTACCTGCTCTCCAGCCAGGCAGCGTTTCAAATATGTGCTGGCGGCTACGACCCTCTCCCAGTCTCCTCTCCAAGATCAGTGTGTCTAATTCTCCCCTGTGCCCCGCTCAGCAGGATTCTAGCACCTACTCAATCTTTCCTGCCTTCCTTCTCACTCTCTAGTTGGTCAAACTTTCTCTTAATAGGTAGCATCTATTCCAGAAGACAATGTTTGACCCTCGAGGTGAGGCATCCCCCAAATTGTCCCTCCATGTGCCCAGCAGAGATGAGTGTCCTGGGCTACAGAGCCCTGGTGCTGGCCCTTCCACCTACACCTTCTTAGTGCATGCAAAGATGCTCCCCCACATCCCAGGGCAGTATCTACCATGGGTTCGGGGGGCCATGCTTGGAGGAGGAAAGAGTCCCAGAGATGCTCACCTGGATCTGCCCAGGGCCGATGTAAAACTTTTTCAGGATGTTGATGAGGAAGTGCTGAACCTCTACCCAGGGGTAGATGCTGTTGGAACCATCCAGAACAATGACGATGTCCATGTAGGTCTGGCACCCTGGGAAGTGGGGACATGGTCACAGCTACCCCAGGGCCCAGTGTCTGCAAGTCTCTGATTCTCCGGTTCATTGTCCAAAGGACAATAGAAGGACTCTGTTGTATGTATATAATTACATGTGTGTACTTCCCTGGGCTGGGGAGCCATCCTTGGGCTGGACATTTATTTGGGCAATGTGAATGACGAGCCCAAGAATTCCTGGCTCTGCTCCACCTCTCTGTGCTGGCCATGCAAACAAAGCTGAGATGAAGCCTGACCCGCTCGGCTCTCATCACGGACTGACCACGGGCAGCTGGTCAGTGTCTCTGAGGCAGCCAACACTGCTCACATTGGCATCTCTTTATAATTTGTTTTACTGAAACGGGCAGGCTGGACTTAACGACTTTCAGCCCAAATGGAGGGGTTTCACTTTTTAAGGGGGCAGTATGGTGTAACGGCTAGGAATATGGAGCCTGGAGTCATGATGTTTGACTCCTGGCTTTGACCTTGGGCAAGTCACTGGACCTCTCAGCCCCAGTTTTCTCTTCTCTAGAACAGGCATAATGATAGCAGAGGGTTGTCAGGAGGAATCAATGGGGTGATGCTTCCACAGGGCGGAGCACCAAGCCAGTGCTCCAGAAATCTTAGCTGATCCTATTTTTACTTTTTTAAGCAAACCACTTTGTCAATGCGGCAATGACAGACTCAGGTCGAGCTCTCATGCTTTTATTTCTGCTCTGAACATAAAGCTTTCTCTATATTCTTATAACATTAATATGTAATTAAAACGCATAATAAAAATCAATTTTTCAGAGAAATTTTTTCAGAGAAAACTAATGAAACATCGGTACTATAAGAAATGTAAGAAACTTCTTTTAAAATCTAAGTAATTTATTTCTGTTTGTGAACAGTTGGGGTTACTTTGAAATATGCTATGATTTATATTATATTACATTATATTGAAAGTTTGGGCATCTGCTTATGTTTACTAGAGATTTTCGCACTGCTAGAAAATCTACTTTGCAGCAATAAGGCCGGAGCCTGTTGTGTGTGATCTGTTCCAGGAAGTCCTGCATCGGGAAGGTGCAGACGCTGCAGCCCGTGCTCACTAGAGAGAGGAAGGGGGGTGGCTTTGAACCCAGGTGCCCGTCGCAGGCCTTGCGTCTGGGGCAGCATTTAGAAGTGTTTGGGTGATTCGATGCTCAGAGTCACCTCTGCTTTCACAGAAGTTGCATAGATAGTCTTATCCCAGCTGCATGCTCTGTGCAGCATGTGACACCCTGACATGTCCGGGCTGACCGTGCCTGATAGCTTTGTCCTGTTCCAGTGTGGTTCAGCTCCACACTTGAGGAGGGAGCACCTGCCACATGCCGGAGCGCCACGTGGGGTGACCGAGACAGAAACTTCTTGATTGGGAGGAATTTCCAATCTAGTGGTAGGGACCAGGTTTCTTTTATTTTTAAGACAGTTTTATTACTGGAATGCACTTATTATTGCTGATTTCTTCCTTACAACTTCAAAGTTTTCTTTTTAAGACATGTCGGGAAGAATTTTGCTTTAGGTCTGTGGTTCCTAAACATGGGTGAACACCCCACTGAAACACACACACACACACACACACACACACACACAGACACCCCGGGGCATATCCCAGACCTGTTGCATTAGAACCTCCACGGGGAGTGCCCTGGAATCTGTGTCCAGTAAGCTCCTGGGCACTGCTGCTGGTCAGTCAGGGGAGGAAGCCTCCCCCACAGGCGGTTCTGGGTGGCTGGGAGGGTCACACCCTGGCCCAGAGGAAAGAGCAGCCCTGGGCGTGGGGCGACTCACCTTGAGCCTCTTCCTGAGCCCCAGCACTGTCCTTCTCTCTGCCATTTTGTGTGAATAAACTCCACACCTCCTCATTGCAATAAGAGGACCACTTTCGAGCCCCTGCTGGACTGATGCTTCCTCCCCCAACTCAGGTACCATCTTTCCATCTCGGACTGGGCCCTGCTGTTTGGAGGGAGGTGCGGGCTAGCTGGAGTGCTAATCCTCTCACCCTCAATCAAACGGGCAGCAGCTGCTTGGGTGATGGTATTCAGCCCAGAGGAAATAGTGAGGCTCGGAGCCAAGCAGCCTGGGCTCGAGGGAGGCAAGGTTTCAGCATCATTTCCCCAGATTTTCTTGGCAGGTGGGGAGTGTGTGGGAGGTTTTGCGTTCCGTGAAGTTCCTGGCAAGCTGGGTAGAGCTTCCTGATGTCCAGGAACATGGGTTTGATGGGTCTATTACCAGGGATATTTCTGTTCTCACTGGCCCCCTATCCACAGACAACAGCAAGGCATAACATTAGGGGGCACCATTCACACCATAGTCTAATCGAACGACGTCCCCTGTGCAGTGCACAGCTTGCCTGATATACATGGTGGCCCAGCAAGTTCTTCCCCACTCAGGTGTGTTTGCAGTGAGCCTCGCTGTCTGCCAGGATTGTCTTCCTAACCTCAGCTCATTTCTCCCCCACCATCACTCCGTGTGGGAGGGTGGGCCACAGAGGCCCCGAGACGTGAAGCGAGTGGTCCCAGGTTACCCAGAGAGCCGGAGCAGGGCGGGGTGAGAGTCTAAGTGCTGCTTTGTAGCTGCAGGACAGCGGGGATCAGAGCCCCGAGCCTCCCACAGACTGCTGGCCGCTCAGCCTGAGTCTGCAGATTAGAAGCCACTTACTTTGGAGAGCTGGGGCCACCGTCTTAGAGAACCTGAAGTTGGAGTTGACTCGTGAACACATCCCTGTGGTGTAGTAGGAGCTCCCACACTCGTGAGACCAGAGGGGGCTGCAGGCCTGTAAAGGAAGCGCAGTCAGACCCCCAGTCAGTGGGGGGCCTCAGGGTGCGTCCAGGCCCAACAGCCTTCAGTCCAGACCCAACCTCCAAGACCCAAGACAAACACCCAGGGTTTAGAGGGTCTTCTTTGAGTCTAACTGAATTCCCTTTTGCTACAAGGTGTACCAATTCCCTTGGTTTCAGGTGGAATGGGGAAAAACTAATCTTAGAGTCCTTTGTTGTATTTTCAAGGGTGCCATTTTCTATCCTATCTTCTAGGGTTGTGACTCTCCTTCACTCAGTCTGCCCACCCCACCCCCCACACAGGATCTGGGAAAGCCTTTTCATCCAGGGGAGTGGACCTTTCAAGGTAACTAGAATAGCCCCTCTGTCTGAACAGGTCACTGAAGGTCCTTACTGGGATATTTCTAGGACTGGGTCCCAACAACATGCCATGGCTCTTGTTAGAGAAAGAAAAAAGAACACCTCTGCTCTTTCTCTGCTACCAAAAACATTGATATCAACTCCTCATTTAAAGACTGAGTGAAGAGTTCCTCTCAGAGTCAGGGTTATTAAAAATGAAAGCCCAGCTCCATGTCTCCATTTTTGTCCTGCTGCCAGGAAACTCAGGACTAAATTTTGTGTTGTAATTTTCTTTGGTTTGGAAGAATAATTATTCTATTGCCAATACCTTTCTTTAATTAGCTGTCTTTTTTTATACTCAGATTTTAAAGATTTTATTTTATCTGTGTCCTTTGTTGAAGCTGCAGTAAATTATTTTTGGAAGTAGAGGGAGAATAAAGAATGGAAAGGTGAATGATGGATAATGGATGGTTGGGTGGATGGGTAGATGGATGGATGATGGGTGGATCGGTGGATGGGTGGATAGAAAGATTATGGATGGATGGATGGGTGGCTGGATGGATGATGAATGGAGGTAGGAAGGGATGGATGGAAGGATGGATGATTAGATGGGAGGATGAGGGTGTGGATCGATATATTGATGAATGGGTGAATGAATTAAGGGATGGATGGATGAATAGAGGGAAGGATAATTTATTGGGGGATGGATTGATGAGTGAATGAATAAACGGATGGGCAAATGAGTTTTAAAAAAGTTGCTATTTATAAACCAGGGACTTAAACTACCCACATAGACCCCAGAGGGTATGTCACACCATCCCTCTTGGGCCTTCATCCCACTTTGTAAAGTGGGTGAAATCAAATTAGTAGGAACGCAACAAGGAGCCTCAGAGGGAAGGGGGTGTAGCAACAGGCTCCTGACAGGCATGTGTGTGCACAGGGCCAGGGATCCTGTTTGCCTTGGTTGGGGAGGATGGACGGCTATGGGCTGACCACACATCGAGGCACCTCAGGACTTTCCCTGGCAGAGCCACTACATTCTGCTCAAGTCCCAGAGCATCCGAGTCATCTCATTGCCAGGGTGTCTGGCGCTTCACATCCTAGATGTCTCGTCTGTAGACAGAAATGGACTGACGGACAAGAGCCAAGAGTAACACAGCCCTCCCATCTTAAAACAAGTGGTGCATTTTAGTGGGCTTTCTGGGGTAATTTTTCTCTGAAATCCTCTCTCGCAGCTGTTTCTAGGAGCTATCAGCTCCAGAAGGATCCTGTTTTGAACCCCTAGAATCCCCCAAACTCATGGGGGGCCACTCCCACATGGCAGGGAGGAGCAGGCCCTGCAGATCCATCACGCCGACTGTCACCAGCACTCACTCGCCTGCTGTGCGCAAAGCCTGGGCGGGGTTCAGAGAGCTCCTGCTCGGCCCCTGCTGCCCTTCTGTCCTGATGTCCTGTTGACATCACTCACTCGCTTACTGTTACTCCCCTAATCAGGATGTCAGCTCCTGGGGGAGGAGCTCTGACTCCTGACTCCCTGGTGCCCGGCACTGGGCACAGTACATTGTGAGTGCTCCCAAAAATTGTTGTCTAAATGAATGAATGTCTCTCCCACCTCAGCCCAAATACTCCCTCCTCTTTCTTTATTGCTAAGACCTGTCTCTTCTTTAAAAACAAAACAGAGACCTCCTCTGGGACACCTTCCATCTAATCCTGCGCAGTCCGGGTGACCCGTTACCCTACTCTTTCCTCGATTGTCGCAAACCTGTGTTCACTCATTTGTGGCTTCCTTTCAAAGTCTCTTCAGGGGGTGTGGTGTGTCTTTTTTCTTTGATCAAACCTGGAGCAGCGGTTCGGCCTCTGCTTTAGAAATTTGTCTCCCTAAAGGAAGGGAGAGGCCTCCCATCGAATTGTCGGCTATCTTTATTTATTCCTGGTCCTTTCATGCTGTCTGCCCCCCTCACCCTGGAGGTATTCGTATCAAACGGCTCAATCTTTCTTCCTGTCTGGACTGTCTCCCCTCAAAAATTTAGGGCACAGCAGGCAGAAGGGCACAGACAGGAAGCTGGTGGAGGGAGCTGCTGCCTGGAGCGTGTGTGGACAGGCAGCGTGGAGGGTGGAGGGTGGGGGTGTGTGTAGGGACATGCTCCGTCACCCTGTGCCTCTCCCAGCCTCAAGCGGAGGGTGCGTGGGGCAGGAAGGGCTGAGGCTCAGACAGGGTGGGGGGTGGCTCTTACCAAGAAGCTGTTGTCCTTGGGGTTGGTGGCCAGGCTCAGGCCGAGGCGCATGTTGTCCTTCCGCTCGGACACGTTGGACAGGGTAACCCTTCCTGGGGTGGGAGGGACAAGCTCAGCCTACAGCCCCTCCGGACTGCCCTCGGCCCAGAGCCTGCTGCCGCCGGCTACCAGAAGGGCCTGTGGCAGGGCGGGTGCCAGGCAGAGTCCTCCTGATTCTCCCAGCCCTCTGGGCCCCTCCCTCACCCGTGCCTTAGTGCAGCCCTTCACAGTTTATGAAGCCTTTGCCCAGACACGGTCTCGTTACTCCCTCACAACTCCTTGTGAAATGAGGAAACCAAGTCTCAGAAAGGCCAAGCAACTTGCCCAGAGTCACACAGTACACACATAACAGAGCCTTCCATCCCCTAGTCTGGAGCTTTCCCTCCTTCAGTCATCTGACTGGACGCCAGCATTCCCCTTGAGTCCCACCCCCCACGTACCAGGGCCCCCCACCTAGGCTGGCTTCTCTGTGCAGTGTCCCCTCCACATTTTCCTTCAAGCCAACCTGTCATCAGCACTTGCCAGCCCCGTGTCCTCCTCTCTCAGGGCCTGCCTCTCTGCTCATCTGACAAACTGATGCATGACAGCTGATTCTCTCTCACAAGTAACGAATAGCCAACTTAATGAGAACCTCCTGGGACTTCAAGGTCTTGCCCAAGAATGTCATTCTGTGGTTGGCTGCCAGGAGAGGTACTGAGGGGCAGGATCATAGCAACACGGTCTAGGGAGAGGGTCTGGCAGGTTAGAATTATGGAACAAAGTTACATGGCGAAGGTTTTATGAGATCCTTCTGCCAGGCCACTGAAGGGAAGGAAGGGAGCTTGAATTCCCCAGATGTGTGTGGGTGTGTATGAGTGTGTGTGCGCGCGCACGTGTACGGCCACGTGGTGGGGCAGAGATTAGGGGAAGCGAGTTGGGCATTAGATTGAGCCAAGAGCGAGTCCTGACCTGCCGTGTGAGGACCTAGACGTCTCTGCTTGGGGGAGGGGCGGGATCTCTAAAGACCTGGGAAGCCTGGACCAAGAAAGGTCTGCATTTTGCTTGGTGGGCGATGGGAAGCGTGAAGAGCTGGCCTGCCCTTCGGGTCACAGGCCTCCGCAGAGACCAGGACTCCAGGCTCCTGACTGGACGTGGCTGGACGGGGGCAGCTGTGTTTGCTGCTTGTCCCTTTGGTTCCCTCAGTTGGGAGTGAGTCTCCTTTATGAGACCCAGCCCCTCGCAGCTGTGCTGCAAGTGACTGGGATTGCTTTCTGTCTTGTCTGTCCACAAAAGGCAGAGAGAAAAAAAAGTAATAACCCTGGTGTTTTTATGGTGCCTTATCATTTAAAAAGTACCATCCCCACGTGTCCTCCCAGGATCCCCTCTGGGTCCTGGGAGGCCCAGGAGTCACCATTTCCATTTTACAGATGAGAAAATTGAGGGGCAGAGAGAGGCAGGGACTCCTACTAGACCAGTGAGTGGCAAATGACAGAGGGGGACTGGAACCCAGGCCGTCTGACATCCACCTGAGTTCTCCCGTCTGATGGCAGGCCTGCGGCGGCAGTGGGATGGTAGTGAGGAATCTGGAGAGGAAGCTCCGAGCCCTGACTAGGCACCTCCACCCCTCGGCAGCTTGGAGAATGCTGCCCCCAACTGATGTAGGGGGCACATCCCACTCCTCACCCTGCCTCTCTCCTTCTGCCTTGTCTCAGTGACCTAAGTCCTCACTGAAACTGTGCGGGCCCGGAAGCAGAGGGCATGGTAGGGAAGACCCCTGCGTTGGAGTCAGACGGAGTCAGACAGAGTCAGACATACTCAGGTTCGAGTCCGGCTCCGCGGCGTACTGGCTTCCTGCATTTGGGGCAGTCGGTCGCTAACCTCTCCTGGGTTCAGTCTGCCCCTCTGAGAGCCGGAACACTAACACCTTTCTCAGCAGGTCTCTGTGAGGGTCCAGGGGCACAAGCCTGTCTGCACACAGGCCTGCCTTCCAGATCACACCCCTTCCCGCAGCCTCTGCCCTCAGTGGAACCCTGCCTTCATCCAGGTGCTGGGAAGACAGTGCCCGCGGTGGACTCTCCCACACTGAGGTGTGAATGACTGACACCCACTTAGCCTTCCCTGGGGAGAGAGGAAAGAACATCCTTGACTCAGTGTGACTCAGAGCCTGGAAAACCTGGGACTCAGGTTTCCCGGCCTCGAGCTTCCCACCGTGGGGTAAAATGACGGAGAGGCTTCCTGCCGAGCCACTGCCCAAAAACAGGGGCTTCCTGCCCAGCACTCCTCTGTCTCCCTTTGCTGCCTGCGGCCTCCCGTATCTGCCCGGTTCAGGGCAGTTTCCCAGGGTCTGCCAGCTTCATGGCAGGGGCTCCTCTCCTTTGGAGGGAAATCGGGACCACACTGGAAACCAGAGCAACAGAGGAAATGAAATGACCAGTTCCTCTGTGTCCCCACCTGGAGCAGGAGCTTCTCTCAGGGGCCCAGGCCCTGAGCCCAGAGCCCACCTCTCCCACCACCCGCCTCACTCCCTCTGCCCCAGCCACATGGCCCGTCTTTCCATCCTCAGAGCAAGCTCATTCCCACCTCAGGGCCTTTGCACTTGCTCACCCACTGCTTAGAATGCCCCACCTGACTCCTTCTCACTGTCAAACCTTCGCTCAAGTGTTACCTGCTCAGACAGGCCTTCCCTGACCCCCTTGCTAAGGTAGAAACCCCACCCCTGCTCAGCTCCTCTTATCACAGCACTCCGGTTGATGGCACAGCATTTATCCCTGCTTTCTAATTTGTCTACTTGCTTACCGTCCCCTCCCAGCAGAGCCCGTGGAGACAGCCCTGCTGTATCCCCAGTAACTAGCACAGTGCTTGACATAGACTGGGTGCTCAGCACAGGTTGGGGGACATATTTGACCTGGAATGGATCCTGAGGTCCTTGAGTTGACCTCCTCTCTTTACATATGAGCAAACCGAGGTTCAGAGAGGGGATGTGAGCTCCCCATGGACACACTATGAGGAAACTGTACAGCTGGAAGGAGAACACAGCTTGGCCTGTTTCAGAAGCCTGCATTCTCAGGGTGGGGATGACTGGGATTCTTGAGCCGCCGGCCAGGCTCCCGCCTCCCCTAGACTGTTTCCTCACTGGAGTCTGGGCCCCAGCTGGGGTCTGAACTTCCCATCCATGGCACTGACGCAGCTGTGGACAGCGGGAGCATCCCGGACCACGTGACGGGACAGCTGGCCCGGGTATCTGAGTCCTCGGGCATTCTCTTTGATGTGGGCCTTTTCATCCGTCTTATCTCTTGAAGCTCTGCCATGTCCCCCACCAGGCCCCCGCTTCCCGTCCCCACCTCCCCAGGGAGCCCCACGCTGCTGCTCTAGGGCAGAGGTTCCCCTCCTGGGGGAGGGGCGGCCAGTCCTCCAGGGCAAGGCCTGGGAGTGTGGCTTCTCAGCCCAAACGGAACTTCTCCTTCTTCTGAAATCAAGGCGATGGCCCAGCCGCAAGTGTGTGTGTGTTCGTGGATGCATGCGTGTGCACACACACACAGGTTTTACGAGGGCTTGGAGGGCATGAGGCAGCTCACGGCATCTCCCCTGGGCCTGAAGGCTCTCCAGAGAGGAACGAAGCCCCGGTTTCAGAAAGGCAGCGTGTGTGGTGGTTAAGGGCGGTTGTGGATTGCCTGCACTGGCATCCCCCCCTCGCTGCTTATGAGCTGGGCCACCCCAGCAGGTCCCCTCACCTCCGCAGGCTGGCATTCCCTCCTTTGTTAAGTGCTTGAATCTCATATGGTTGTTGCGAGGATTAAATGAGTCAAAATACCTAAAAAACCAGCACCTGGCACACGGTGCACATTATATGAAATGGATGAATTTTCGCTATTGTTGTTATTTCAAAATCAGAAAGAAGACAGACAGTGTTTTTCTCCTGCTGGGAGAGGAAACCTTGAGTTGAGGGGCAGTGGATAGGTCAGAAAGCAGTGGCCTGGGACACTGGAGGCCTGGGTTTGAATCCTAGCCGGCTCCTGACAAGCTGTGTGACTATGGGCAAGTCGCTTTCTCTCTCTGACCTCAGTTTTCTCATCTGTGAAATGGGGCAGCGATACCAGCTGGGTCACCTCACTGGACAGCTGTGAGGAGCCAGCGTGACTGCGGGCGTGGATGTGCTTTAGAGCCTGCCCCACCCTGGACAATGGTGGCCTCATCGTGGAGAGGCTGGCAGCCCAAGTTACCCAGGTTGAGCTTGGTGCAGTTGCCCTGGGTCACCGGACACTTGTACACGTCCCCTGTCTTCTGGTGGCCGTTGGTTTCCAATGGAGCGCCCACGACCAGCCTGGGAAGGAAGAGAAGACAAGTAAAGATGCTGAGGGAGGTACTCTCCTGGCAAATACTGGAACCTGGAGGGCAGTGTTGAGGGGAAGACGGGGTGGGGAGGGTGGGAGGGAATCCTGGAGGAGGGGCTTTTCTCTCTCTGGGGGAGATGCTCGGCTTTCCGCGTAAAGTCACAGGGCCTGTGGTCTATGCAGGCCGTTGCCAGAATGTGGCGATACGGAGACGAAGACCACGGTGCCCTGCAGCCAGTGGGGTGGAGGCAGTCCCCGGGAGAAGAGGGCAGGGCAGACAACATGGAGGACGTGAGGCTCGAGCTGGTCTTAATGAGGGACTATGAGTTTGTCCCTGGAGGGAGAGTGGCAATGGTGGTCATTCACGCAGAGAAAGGAGGATTTTGGAGCCAGAGTTTTGGCCATCTGTCACTGCCTGCAGGTGGCCTCATTCCTCAGCATATATGACAGCCTTTCAGCTGGTGACCCAGATGTGGGCATGTTGCTCAGGGTTGGGGTTGTCCCCTGAGCCACTAAGTCTTTGCTCAGGGTGGGCAAGGCAGCCAGCAGGGCTAAAGAGCGGCCAGGGGCAGCTGCCCAGCCGGGGCTTCTGCCCTGAGCCTAGGCCTTTGTGACCTTATTGGGAAAAAGGGATTTTGCAGTTGTGATGAAGGATCTTGAGATGAGATCATCCTGGACTGCCCAGGTGGGCCCTAAATCCAAGACAAGTGTCCTTACAAGAAACACACAAAGGAGAGACCAAGAGAAAAGAGAAAGCTATGTGAAGACGGAGCCAGAGCTGGGAGGGATGCGGCCACAAGCCAAAGAATGCCTGGGGCCACAGGAAGCAGGCGAGGCCAGGAAGGATTCTCTCCTAGATCCTTTAGAAGGAGCTCAGCCCCTGCTGATGCCCTGATTGTGGACATCCGGCCTCCAGAGCCTGAGGGAATAAATTTCTGTTTCTGTAAGCCATCTACGTATGTTGCAGTAATTTGCTATGCAGCCACAGGAAACTAACACATCTTGCTGACACGCATGCATAGAGAGAAATGAGGGCCACTCCTTCTTGACCCAGCAATGCCCTGGCAGTGCCTGGGATGCAGAGCCCGTGGCCCTGGCGGCAAGGGCTGGGGACTCACCTCCCTTGAAGCCAGGGAGAATCCCATCTCAGACTGGCCGGCCCAGGCCCTCTCCCTAGTGCTCCTAAGCCCCCTCCATGCCCCATCTCCAGCCCACCAGAGGGCAGCACCATCAAGAGCAGCCCAGAGCGGCCTGGGGAGGGAGCCGGAACCCAGTGCTGATGATAAGTGACACCCTGAAAGTGGGTGATGTGTCCCTCTGGTGCCCACCTGCCAGTCAGTGCTGCCCACCTCTGGCGTCTCTGGAACCCTCGAGGCTCCGGGCGCCAGTTTCTCTCAGCTGCAGCTGCCTCTGTTCAGGCCCTCGTGACTGGAGAACGGAACCCTCCACGGACAGCTGTGCTGTAAGGGCAGGGGGTGCCACAGCTCACTCAGCCCTGAGGGATCCCAGGCCCTGAGGGGCAGAGAATAGGTGGCAGTGGCACTTGGGGCACAGGCACGAGTGAGACATTGGGAGCGAGGAGAACTTTCTGGAGTCCTGCTCGCCGAGCAGCCTCCCAGCCCTGGCAGTGCAGCCCAAAGAAGAAGCAATCATTGTTTTTCCGATTTAAGATGGTTGAGAGGGCTGGGGCCGGCCCATGGCCGAGTGGTTAAGTTCGCTCGCTTGGCTTTGGTGGCCTGGGGTTCACTGGTTCAGATCCTAGGCGTGGACCTAACGCCACTGGTCAAGACATACTGTGGTGGCATCCCACATAAAAAAATAGAGGAAGACTGGCACAGATGTTAGCTCAGCGACAATCTTCCTCAAATAAAAAGAGGAAGATCGGCAATGGATGTTTGCTCAGGGCCACTCTTCCTCACACACACACACACACACACACACACACACACACAAAGGATGGTTGAGAGGGGATGGGCCTGGAGGTTCAGGCTACGCAGGACGTCAGTGGCTTCCTGTGGTCAAATTCCCCCCTGCCCCCACTCGGTGCTGTCAGGAAAGAGAGGGAGGTCTGAAGTGGGAGTTAACAGAGCTCTGTTTGAAATTAAGCCTGTGAAATAAGAGCTGCAGTTTCTCCCCCGGGAACCAGATAATGACAGATTCTAAATATATCCACTTATTAAGCATGTCTATTTTTGACCAGCAGGAATTAATTGGACCCATAAATTCTATTTGTCTAGACGATGTGATTTTTGGCTACTTAATTCTGCGAGTGATTGTGTAGTCAAGGCTGCTCCATTCTTTCCAGCAAAAAAACCCCCAAAAACAAAAAACAAAAACCGAGAGAGATAGAGAGAGAGAGAGAGAGAGAGAGAGAGAGAGAGGTCAGGAAATGAGGTTTGCACTCCAACCTTGCTTTTCTGGCTGCGCTGGTTTTCAAGGTCACCCTGATATGTGAGCGAGTCTTCCAGAAAGATGCTCCCTCCAGGACACCACTGCCCAATGTGGGTGCTTTCCGGAAAGAGTGCCTTTGAGGAACACTTGCCAGGGTGTTTCTGGGAGAATCAGGCACAGCAGGTTCTAGATTAGGAGAACCATGACCATCTTCCAGACAAGCTCTCCTCATATGTCTTCCAGAAAACACCCCAGCAGCCTGACAAGATGGACTCCTCACAACTCTGCCCATTTTACAGAGAGGAATTCTGAGTTCTTGATGGCGACGTGGTGGGGCCCCCAACACAGGGTGAGATCTTTGGGCTGAGAATCTAGGGGTCAGGTCTTCATCCCAGTTCTGTTACCAGCTGGCTGTGTGGCCTTGAGGTCACTGAACTTCCCAGATCTTTGTTTTCTTGGCTGTGAAATGGGGTTAACGATTTCTGCACTGCTTACCTCCCAGGGTCACTGTGAGAAGTCACAGATGTCAAAAGGCATCGAGAAACCGAAGGGGCTGTATCTAGATAAGCTATGTACGAAGACTGGTGACTTCCTAGAAGTCATGTTCTGGCAATGGCCAGCATGTGACTCTCTGCCAGTAAATCTACCAAGTCATTGTGACCCCAAATTTGCTACAAGCCTAGGCTTTGTCCTTTTCAAAGAACCAGGGCTGCCCGCTGTGGCCCCTCTCCATTCTCCCGGACTGGATTTCTTGGGGCGTCTTTGGCCCTTCACTCGGGGGTCATGGCTTACTGTTTCCCTATTACAGATGCAGAAGCTGAGGCCCTGAGAGGGGAGCTGACCCAGGCCCCACAGTTCGTCTGTGGCCGGGCTGGCACTAGTTCTCCTGGGACAGCTTTCTCTGTGTGGCCCCAAATTTCTTCATCATGAAGTGGGTGCCTGGGTTAGCTCTGTCTGCCGTCCTCGAGTCTCGGCATTACGTGTGCCTGTCGGGCTTGAGGTTTTGAGGAGATGATTCAGTCCCGCTGTGGAGTGCAGGGAAAATGTTTGCATCACCACGGAGACCAGCCAAATTGCTCCTGGGGTCTGGCAGCCCCTGCCACCTCCTGCAGCCTCAGCCTTATATAGCCATCTGCATCCTCAGGGCCTGTTGTGCCTCGCAGGGGCTAGACACCCTATCCCCTCTGGCGTGGGCCCCAGACGGCACGGCAAACCCCAAAGGTCGTGGCGAGCGAGCATCGGGCCCTTTCCATGGGCCGCGTGTCGTGACTCACTGGCTGCGGGCACTAGCATCCTTCCCGCAAGGCGTGGGGCGCAGGGCTGCTGTGGATGGGAGCGTTGACAGCATGCTTCAGCCGCAGCCCTGTAGGACCCCTCTAAGCAGGGCCTTGCCAAGGGTGGGGGCTCGCCATGGAGATGGTCACCTGTGGAAGGCAGGACATGGCCCCCTTGGGCGCTGGGCCCTTGGCTCCCAGCGGGACCCAGGCTGAGAGAAGGGGCCCCTCGCTCCCTACCTCACACCCTCTCCATCGAGATTCCTACGGGACTCATCCTGACTTCTGCTTATCCTTGGTCCATCCTTCAAGGCAATTTTAGTCTCTGATCCTTTTAAATTGTACTCTGCTATCAGAAAAAAGGGTAACACGTCCTCCCAATATGTGTACATTATACTAGTGTACAACTGTCAATCTGTACATTAAATATCAGTAATCCTGTTTTTTCAGATAAAATATAACCCTAAATAGAACTTGAATCATTTTATTTCTGTCCTCCAGTATACTGTCTCGCACATCCCCTGTGGTGCACACACCCTACTCTGGAGGCCATCCCTTTAAGATCCAGTAGGAATTCCCACCTTCTCCAGGAAGCCCTCGATGATCACCCCGGGCTTGCCCGCATAAACCAGCAGGGAATCCCTGCCACCTGCTATGGCCAGCGTTTTCGGGCTGTCATTTCTTGAGAGCCCAGACATCCTCGTCTGCCCTGCTGTACCCGCGCAGGCTGGTCTTGAAGCCACCCGTGGACCGGTGGGACCTTCTGTCTGACAGTCTATAGCAGCAGCAGCTTCAGGAGCCTCTGGCTTTGCCTTGGGCCTAAGGGAGCCCCCATTTCAGCGCCTGGAGAGGGGCTGCTGAGAAATGGCATCTTATCCACGCCTGGCGGCTCAACGCAGTGACCCAGCTTCCGTGAAAAGTCCATGTTGCTTGCCTCCTGGTTTCCACTGCCCTCTTCTCCACAGTGTTCACTTCTGTTTGAGGATCCAGGGACTCTGGCTGCATTCCTGGTTCTAAGGACCAAGCACATACCTCAGGCCAGGCCAGTTTGATCCCCTGGCTGCAGTGATTGACTTAGGGCAGGCAAATGACTTAAGTCACCCCAATCAGCATGAATCTCAGGACTTCTTGGGACTCAGAGACCAAAGTGCTCCCTTTTCTCTGGATGCCATAGTGTGTAGATGCAAGGCCTTGAACTGCTGGCAGCCACCTTGTGATGATAAGGAGTTTGAGCTGATACATTGAGAGAGGGAGGATGGAGAGAAGCATCAAGAGAAGGAGTTAAAGTACTGATAACATGGTGAAGCCCTGGATCAAACTAGATC